TATTCATTTTATTTAATTGGATGAACTCTCAGTTCTAATAATTTTTCAATTAATCCTCTTGAGTTGTAACTGCTTTTTACAGTTATGACGTTTTAAAAAAAATCTTAGATTTTGTCAAAGAATAAATTCATATGGCCTTAATTTAAAAACTATAAAACTTTGGGGCTTAAAAATTACTTGAGCCTGGCTTCTACTTCTGGGGAAATGGAGGTATATGTACTTATCTCTATTCTTCCATCTAAGTACAACTAAAACCCCCTAATATTACATATAAACAAACATAGCACTCTGAAAGGTAGAGAGGAAAAAGGCAGACTGACTAGGTAATCTTGGGACCCAAGGAACAACATGGTGGTGAGTTCTTGGGTTTTCTTTTTGCCTCATATATTACAGACTTGAAGCCGAAGACATTGGCAACCCAGAAATGCCAATGTATGCAGGCCAGGAAATCTCCAACAAAAGCCTGTTCTCTGTAGCCAAAAGACCCAAAAGGGAACAGTCTAGCAAGACAGAATAACATTTCAACAGTAACTGCTCTACTCTAGTCAAACACCACATAAAAACTATGACCTCCCATGGCAGCAAACCCTAAGTCAGGGAGCCTGGACATCCACCCTTTTGAACTGTCACAAGGCACCCAGATACCTGTAGAATATGGACCCTTGTACCCAATGAGCAATAGTGTGCCAACTCTCCTTGTCTCTGCTAGGGAGTTGGTAAAGGAGCCATGGTGGAGAGGCAGGACTTTTACACCACCCAGTGCTAATTACATGTCTCCCCTCACTTGGTCAATGGAGGTATCAGGGTGGTATCAAAAGAGGGTAGCTGGAGTTCTCACTCCCACCCAGCAGTAATGAGGAGACCCTCCTCACTGTAGTGTCAATAGAGGCCAAGGGGAGAACCTAGACTCCTACTCTCTCCTGCCAGTAATGAGGCAGGCAGCACACCTGCTTCCCTTGCCAAAACAGTGTCAAGGAAAGTCACCTAAAAGAGTGAGATCAAATAAGATCCAGCATCCCACAATATCCAAATTGTCCAAGTTTCAATCACATGGATTATTTGGATTGCAATCACAGCAATCACTTATGCCAAGAACCAAGAAAATCACAACTTCAATTTAATAAAACAATCACTAGATTCCAGCACAGAGATGACAGAGATGTTAGAATTGTCTATGAAGGATCTTTAAAGCAGCCATCATAAAAATGTTACAATAAGCAATTACTAACACGTTTGAAACAAAGGGAAAAAATAGAAAGTCTCAGAAAAAAATAGAAGATGTAAAAATTAAAAAACCAAGATAATTTTAGAACTGAAAAATATAGTAACAGATGTGAAAAGCCCAAAGGATAGTCTTCACAGCAGAATGGAAGGAACAGAGGAATGAATCAGTGAACTAGAGGGTAGAACAATAGAAATTCCCAGATCTGAACATCAGAAAACAGACCGAAAAATAATGAGCAGAGGCTTGGGCGTCTGTGGGACTTTAACGAAAGATTTGACTTTGTCTCATCAGAATCCCAGAGCAGAGGGAAAAGGGCAACATTGACAAAGTACTTGAAGAAATAAAATCTCAAAGTGTGGCCACAGACACAAAAACACAGACTCTAGGAGTTGAGCAAATGCAAACCCCAGACAGGATAAACTGAAAGAAATTCACAAAAGAGTCACATCATAGTCAAACTTCTGAAAACAAAAGACAGGAAATCTTGAAAGCTTTAAGGTAGAAACAACTTACCTGTGGGAGGAAGACCATTCCAATGATAGAGGAATTTTCATAAGAACCGATAGAAGCCAAAGGATGTGGCACATTTTTCAAGGCTGAAAAGAAAAAGAACGATCAACACAGAATTCTATATCCAGCAAAAATATACTTTAGGAGTGAAGGGGAAACTAAGAGTACCTGTGACCAGCAATCCTGCCCTCAAAGAATGGCTGAGGAAAGTTCTCTAAACAGAAAGGAGATGATAAAAGAAGGAATTTTGAAACATCAGAAAGGAAGAAAGAACAACTAGAAGGATAAAAATATGAATAAAAACATTACGTTTTCCTTCTTTTGAGCTTTTAAATTTGACAGTTGAAGCAAAAATTATAACACAGATATGGTTCTGAATGTAGAGGAAATATTTCATACAATGTATTTATTATAAATGGGGAAGAATAAAGGTATGTGAAGGGGGAGGTAAGGTTTCTACACTTTACTGAATCAAAATATGAATAAAAATGAAGCAGCAATTTTCTGTCATCAACCTTTAAAATTTTCACCAGTTCCTTGAGACTGTTGGGGAAGTGGTCTCCATCATAACTCTTTGAAGGGAAATTTTGACAGCACCTATCAATTTTTAATATCCAGTATTGACACAGTAATCCCCTTTCTAGTAATCTATCTTAATGGAAAGCATTCACACAAAATACGTGATAGTGCATGCAAGAATGTTTGCACCAAAAAATGAAGACAACTTAATGTGAATCTCCAGATGAATTATTACATCATGGTAAATCTATGCTATAGAATACTGTGGGGTCACTAAAAAATAGGGGATATGCTTTTCTTAGTATATGAAATAATATTGGTGCCATATATAATTTAGAGAAGAACACAAACCTTGGCATAATAATGGATCCCATTTTTGTCAAAAATAAAGGATGCATAAACACATACAGACAGATCTTTATATAAGTTTGTATTTTTGTGCAGTGATGGAGTGTGTATGTTTACCCATGTTGTGCGTATTTCAAAGGTTACATAATAAAAAGTTAATAGTAGTTCCCTTTTGTCCCTTTGTAAAGGAGCTAGGTGGAAGTAGGGATAGGTACACAGGTATATATACTCCCTTTCTCTGTGTTCACTGTGTATTCTTTTGTTTTTGTTCTTGGGGTGTTTTTTGGTTTGTTTTGTTTTGTGTTTTTTTTGGTCAGAGATGATCTTGCTCTGTCACCCAGGCTGTGGCACAGTCATAGCTCACTGCAACCTTGAAATTTTGGTTCAAGCAGTCCTCCCACCTTAGCCTCCCGGGGAGCTAGGAGTACAGACATGCACCACCATACCTGGCTAACTTATTTTTTGTAGAGATGGGTATCTCTCTGTGTTGCCCAGGCTGGTCTTGAACTCCTGGCCTCAGCAATCCTCCCCTCATAGCCTCTCAAAGTGCTAGGATTACAGGTGTGAGCCACCACACCCCGCCCATTATGTATTCTAATAGATCTTCTAGGCATGGAGGTACAGATTGTTTCCATGGAAATATGTTTTTTGTGGTTTTCTTTCCTTTTTTTTTTTATATGTGGTATCATAATATTTGTGGTAAGCTATGATTTCCTTTTTATCTTAGCAATATATTTTGGAGATTTTCCTATTCCCCAAGATACAGAATGTTTCCCATTCTTCATAACTACTGTGCAACATCTCTCCATATGAGTGTGGCCACAGTATGTCTTGCTGTTCCCCCAGTTGTGAACATTATGCCGGAGGTACATTTTTGGTATTACAAGCATGGCTGCATCCTTATGTATGGTTTTTCTACACAGGTGCTTGTATTTCCCTGGGCTAGATAGATTGGAAACCAAAAATACTAAATGAAAAACTGAATTCCCTCCCCAAAAGCTATACCCTTTTGTATTTTTCTCAAGCCCTCACTCCATAGATGCTTTTGTGTCCACTGATTGACAAATGGATGAGGCAATAATTTTCCCCAAAGTATTCTGACTGCTGCCCAAGGCTCCCTCAAGCTTAGAGCCATCCCAAAGATGTTCTCCCATTTTTGCAGAAATTTATTCTGTGCTTTCCTCTTCCCATCCAGTTCCACTTGCCTTCTGTCTTCCAGGCACCCTCATAATTTTTATCTAGGAGACTTTTGTTTCCTAGTACTGTTGTGGATTGATTTAAAAGTATATTTGTATGATACCATTGGGGGAAGCCGGGGGAAGGGTACATGGTTTATAATTTTTGCTGCTTCCTGTGAAGTCAATTCTTTCAAAATTTAGTTTTTAAAACATATTTTTCATTTTTAGGGATTTGAATAAGAGGGGAAGTCTGGAGCAAGTATTTAATTAATCACTTTGATTTCATCCTGTTTTGTTTTGAATCATTACAAAGAAGTATATTATTTTTGAAATAATAAAATTCCATGTACCTTTTTTTAAAAAATGAGACTAATATATATATATATACACACACACACACACATGAAAAGAAATTTACAAAAATAATTTGATTTTTGTATTTGCCCTTTTTAACAAGGAGCTTTTATCTCATTTCTAATTTGAAAAACCAGATCAAGGAATTGGGGTGAGTTACAAAGATATGTTTCAGTAAAAAGATGTTCACAGATGAATTGGAATAAACTGATAAGTTATGCATTTAATCCTTCTAAAGATACTAGTTTGTCTCTAGTTGTTGTAAATGTTTCCTGTAAAAATTCTAATTATGATAACCATGTAAAGTAGCATTAAATTTTTGATGAAGCATCATTAAACTTTATGTTGAATATGTGAAATAATAAGTAGTCAATTGCAGCACTCCTGTTTTCGGGGACCCAGAGGATTCAGGGTCACAACATAGTGGAGCATCTTCCTTTCCAGTCTGGGCTACTTGTTGGAGTAAAGATACTTATTAGTCATTATTTTCAAGCATTTTACTTTGTTCACAAATTAAACCCAGTTAATACTGTTTGTGCGTGTGGGGGAAATTCTATTTTACCTTCTTGTCACCTAGGGCCTTGGTAAAGTTCAGCTTTCAAGCAGGAAACTGGGCTCCTACCTGGTAATTTATTACCCTCACTCTACTTCCTCAAGCTCGGGACAGGTCTCAGCCGTGAGCTGGTGTGCTCTGCCTCGGTTACGTGGCCACCCCCGGGTTGAGTGTCCAGATGAGATTGGATGGAGAGGGTCCCTGGTGGTGTCCCAAGTCAGGGCCTCCTGAGAAGTGCTGTGCCCTTGTGCTTTCTAAATAAACTGGGAGACTGTTGCTCATAAATAATTGTGCAACCCACTCTTTTCCTTAGACTTTTTGGAAAGGACATAAACAGCGGAAGGCGTATATGGACCGACGGCAGATGTTCTTTGATAATGTTCATTCTATTGTGAAGGTAAATATCCTTTCTTGCCACATCAAGTGCTTGGCTTAAAGTTTTCCTAACATTGTGATTCTGGAAGACAACTGTGGGGGAAAAGGGTATGTGTGGACAACTTAGAAATCCAGATGAGAGTCAACACAGTGGAGCTGGAGAGAAAGTAGAATCCGATGGGATTAGTTTAAAAGACCTTTTACACTGAAAACAGAGAATGACGTGATCTAGATCCATTGTGCCTTAGCTGCTCAACAAGATAATGGCCTGTGCCCAGCACAGAGCATGTTACAGTTCTCACAGAAAACTGTTGGTAGCAGTTGGTTCCTCATGAGACCTCTCTAGACATTTTCCTGTAAAAACCTAAAGGATTGGGTGTATTTAAAGGATGAGAGAGAAAACCCTAGCCTTAGTTTGATTCCCTAATTAATTACAACTCTCAGCAAAATGCCTTGCCCTCTTGGCTTTTATTTACTGAGGCTAAAGCAAAATAGTACAAAGCTATGTTACCTTCCCCGCCTCTCTCCTGTTAAGGCAGTGAGATTAAGAGTAACATGTAAAATGTTTTGAATGCCTTACAAGAAAGCAATGAAAGAAGTGGGAGATGGGCCGGGCGAGGTGGCTCACGCCTGTAATCCTAGCAATCTGGGAGACTGAGGCAGGCGGATTGCTCAAGGTCAGGAGTTCGAAACCAGCCTGAGCAAGAGCGAGACCCCCGTCTCTACTATAAATAGAAAGAAATTAATTGATATATAGAAAAATTGCCGGCATGGTGGCACATGCCTGTAGTCCCAGCTACTCAGGAGGCTGAAGCAGGAGGATTGCTCGAGCCCAGGAGTTTGAGGTTGCTGTGAGCTAGGCTGACGCCACGGTGCTCACTCTAGCCTGAGCAACAAAGTGAGGCTTTGTCTCAAAAAAAAAAAAAAAAGAAGTGGGAGATGAAGTTTAGATGAAGAGTAGGCTTTAGATATTTATTATTTAGTGGGCTGCTAATTTTTATTTTTCATCAAATAAAATATCATTATTTCTAGGAAAACTACATTGAGTTGTTTGGTGATTGCCTTGACTTCTCTACTTATTTTTAGATTCAGTCCTGGTTCCGAATGGCAACAGCAAGAAAGACCTACCTTTCACGACTACAGTATTTCAAAGATCATGTAAGAGAAATGCTTGTGGGTTTTTTTATCTAAGTTGAGAATGAACTAAATGAGTATTTTGTTTAACGTTGAATGATTGAATGATTGAACATTGAAGCAATGAATGATTTTTATTAAGTGGCAGAAATAAACACGAAAGAATAGATCTTAGAATTTAATGCAATAATATTTGAAGGCTTGCTTTTTTAAATCAGAACTGATAGTGATAATAAGACTTTACCAGTCAGGACTGGGTAGAAAACAGCAGGGAGGACCAATGTGGTCTAGTAACACCAAAGAGAAGACTCTAGAGATATATTTTCCAACATTATATATATAGTTTTTCTAACAGCTAACTGATTTATTTAAATAGGAGCCAACAAGGGGGTTTATTTTTTTCAGAATCTTTTAAAAGTAGTCATGGGAACAAAGATTGGATTATTTGAATTTTGTGTTAAAGTTCTTTTCCCTTTTTAGATCTTTATGTAAACAGTCCCCCTACAGCCTTGTTTATACTTTTTTGCTAACTTATCCTACCCATTCTTCAAAGAAAATGGAAAAACAAATATCGGCTATATCACATCTAAATATTGTCAGTTCTAAGTAGTGTCGGTTCTTAAATGTTCTAAATTCTAAAATAGTAGAGTAGATGGGAATCTGGGAAGTCATGACTTGTCTCAATCTTTTGCAGAGTAATGAAATTGTGAAAATACAGTCACTGTTGAGAGCAAACAAAGCAAGAGAAGACTACAAAACATTGGGTAAGTGGGAACGTTCTGAAACAAAGCATGAACTCGTCCTCTAGGCAAGGATGAGGTTTTTCCAGAAGGATGCACGTTACTTCCCAGGAGACATTGATCTCCTCGGGCCTCTACACCAGCCCAGTACTGAACAAGTACAGAGAGAGCACGTGGTAATAGGAACTGGGCCTTCCTGTATGTAAATGGAAGGGAACAGCCAAGTGGGTTTAATTTCTGCTTCAAAAAGAATGGGGTTAGCATAAATGCTGATGTTTCTTTTTGAAATCTGAGCTAGAATCAAGAATCGAATGCAAAAGAGTTAATCAGAAGATAAGCTTACATTTAAATTGTTTAATTTATTAGCTGGGCTATGATTCTTTTCTGCCTCGTTTTAAAGATAAAACATGTTCACATAAGAATTTTTGAAAATACAAATAAAAAGGAAGAAACCAGAGCCACGTCTCCCCATGATGATAACTACAGACATCTTCCTGTCAATTCATTCTGAACTTTCCATAGCAGCTATGGTTTTTAGCACATTAACTGCCCTGTGAGTTGTATTTAACTCACGCTAGTTTTGAGCCCAGGGCCTTGTGAAGCATATGTAACTCACACGGCTCTTCACCTTGGGAACTTTGAGAACTACTATTTTTCAAGTTGCACATAACTCACACACAGAAAACAATAAAAAAAATAACCAATTTTTCATTAAATTAGAAAGGATCATTTTGTTTTGGAAGTTTTTATTCTATTTTTGTAACAAAATCCCATGGACCCAAAGGGAAAAAAATTTTCTAGTGTGATAGTCAATGTGTAAAAATATTTTTTTCTTATAATACTTGCATATTGCATTTATAGAAAGTTTGAAAATAGCAAAATAAAATAAAAATCACCTAGATAGCAATTATATTTTGTGCCATCTCCTTACAGTCCCAACTCTGCCTGTGTTTGTGTGTGCAGCATGTTTTTGTTTTTGTTTTTTTTAAGAGACAGGGTCTCACTCTGTCACCCAGGCTGAAGTGCAGTGTCATGACCATAGCTCACTGTAACCTTGAACTCCTGGGCTCAAGTGATCTTCCCACCTCAGCCTCCCAAGTAGTTAGGACTATAGGCATGAGCCACAACACCAGCTAATTGTTTTTAGCGACAGGGTCTCACTATGTTGCCCAGGCTGGTCTTGAACTCCTGGCCTCAAACAATCCTCTCACCTTGGCCTCCCAAGTAGCTAGAACTACAGGCACACATGAATCTGCCTAGCTATTTTTTTTTTTTTTTTTTTTTTTTTTTTTGGTAGAGATTGGGTCTCATTGGTTGACCAAGCTGGTCTCAGACTCCTGGCCTCAAGTGATCCTCCCATCTCAGCTCCCACAGTGCTGGAATTACAGGCATGAGCCACTGGCCCTGGCCTCTTTCTTTGGCTTTTTCCATAAAATGATTCCTTATATATTACATTTTTATGTTGTAATTATCACAACATGCACACATCCCAGATTAAATCAAGAAGAGCCTGCTGATAAGTTTATTACTTACAGTGCCTGGTGACCAGTTTAACTAGCACCCTTTATTGTCTAAAGTTTATCTGAATTAAGGGATGAAGCATATGGCTCAAGAAAGATACTCCCTGGTACTTGTGAAGGAAGAGGCTAGGGAAGCTTTGGAGTCCACACTCTGCCTCCAGCCTGCAGCATCTACCGGATAATACCTTATCCCACTAGATTCCAGAATTTATATGCAAACTGAGGAAGAAAGAGTCAGTCTTTTCAATGCCACAGCTTCTCTACTTTTGAATTAATCAGGTCTCTCAGTTGGTAGATATCTGTTCATTTTTTACAAGAAGGTTGAATATAGAGGGTTTGTTTTCTGAGCCCAGACATTAACACAGTTTTGCTATTGCCTGTGTACATGAAAGATAATGTAAGAATAAATTTTCCAAATGAACACAGACTAATTTTCATTGCATTCGCATCACATGGTTTTGTTGGGTAGTCATGGTGATATTTTTCCTTTGTTTACATTTTTTTATTGTAAAGACAAATTTCAATTTCAAAATCTAGGCAATTTCATGGCTTAAAAGGTAGAAACTGTTAGTGAGTTAGATGTAAGCTTCTCTGGACTTCGGCAGAATTGAGTGGTTTTGTGGTAAATGAGATGTAACTTTCATTTCTTTCTCAGTTCATTACCTTCAGAAAACTAAGGTTTGGGGTTTTTTTAAATCTGAAACAAAAATCACTTCTCTTAGTTTGTCACCATCCATTTTTACTCTTTCCCTTTGGAATGGCACTGAATGCATTCAAGCTTGGAAGTTGCTGGAACTATGATGTAGCCACTTGTATAGGTGCAGACTACAAAGTGGTGTGATTTCCTGAGATTGCAACACCTGTACCACAAAGTGCTTCTCAGATGAAGATGTCAAAAAGCTTGGTGTTGATAGAGGCAATGTTAAGTTGGAGCCTAAATTTAATATGAAATTTGACCCTAAATTGTTAGCTAACTACAACAATTAGTGAAGCTAAAATATTAATGTAGTTGTTTAGAAGAGGCCTATTAGTCCTGCAGAGACACACTATCCTCAGGGGAGGAGGCGGCAGACAAAAACTGTGGCCACAGGTGCGACAGCTTGTATCCTCACAGCTCTGCTGCGTGAATGAGCTCTGGTGCCTCACTTAGGTTTTCCCGAGATGATCGTGTCATTAGCAGCATGGAAGGAATGGAAGGAAAATAAATTGTCATGTGTTTCAGTGATCCAGAAATCAAGAGTCCCATGATGCAAGGCAACTTCTCCATTAAAGACCACCACAAGTGGTAAAAATAGTAATATAGATAAGTGTAGATTAGGGTGTTTGTGCCGTGGATCGTTTGTGTTGTTGGTTTAGCTCTTCTTATTTTTGGAGTTTCAGAACAGCACAGAAGCCAGCTGGAAGCACAAGGACGACTGGCAAGGGCCCTCGGTGTAAAGCAGGGCGGCTCTTGGGGTTGCCACAGCTGGACTGGGCTCTTCCAAGTCATCTTTGGATTGCTGGGTCTAATCAGTCATCCTCAAAGGTCCAGACAGTTTATTCTTACAGTTTACACAGACCTGATCTCACTAAGCACATTAAAAAATACATGTTTTCAAGAGTCAGAGTGCCAAGGAATGAAAGCCTAAAGTTCCAGATGCTAAAGGAAACCCTTTGAGAATTTATATGAGAATACCTCCATCATTGACTGGGACTAGTCCCCCGTGCTTCTGAGCACTCTCCCTTGGCCCATGCTGAAAGGACAAGGACCAAGTTTCGATTTCTAAGGTCTTTTTATTTCTGCCCAGTAGAACGTTCATTCCACTTATCATTCCTTTGACTCCTGTTTGGCCTCTACAGTCCTCCCTTGCTTGACCTTTGCTAATTCAGCTTTTACTCACTCCTGGCTCCTTCCCAGAGATCTTTCAGGCTGAGATAAACCACTTTCTGCTTCCTGCAGCAACAACATAAATCTTTTATCTGGCTCAGCCACAAGGTCTCAGAGCCGAGGTAACTTTCTTTCCCAGGTTCCTCATGAATAAGGCACAGATAGGACTATCTTCTCAGTGCATTAAGCCAGAACAGTGTGAGAGCCAGCTGATAAATGACTAGTAAATAACTAGAAAATAGTGGGGCCGGATATCCATTTTGTACATTTATTTATATGATTGGTTTCCTTATCTAGATTTTTACATGGGGGACTTAAAGATTCCCTGCATAGACTAAGTGCTTTCATTGGCATATTTTTCTAATACCTTATTTAAAGACCTGGACCAGGCACAATGGCTCACGCCTATAATCGTAGCCCCCTGGGAGGCCAAGGTGGGAGGATTGCTTGAGCTCAGGAGTTCAAGACTAGCCTGTGCAAGAGCGAGACCCTGTCTCTACCAAAAAGAAAGAAGAAGAAGAAAAAAAAACCAGCCAGGCATTATGGTGCCCGCCTGTAGTCCCAGCTACTCAGGAGGCTGCGGCAGGAGGATCGCTGGAGCCCAGGAGATTGAGGCTGCAGTGAGCTATAAAGATACCACTGCACTCTAGCTGGAGCAATGGAGCAAGACTCTGTCTCAAAAAAAAAAAAAAATACATACATACATACATACCTGGTTTCTTTCCTGTTGATAATCACTCCATGGTTTCCTAATAAAAGTATGCCTCTTCCTTTCTCTGCAGTTGGCTCCGAAAACCCACCATTAACAGTCATCCGCACATTTGTACACCTATTGGACCAAAGTGATTTGGATTTCCAGGAGGAGCTGGAGGTAGCACAATTAAGAGAAGAAGTGGTGACCAAGATTAGAGCCAATCAACAGCTAGAGAAAGACCTGAACCTGATGGACATCAAGATTGGACTCTTGGTGAAGAACAGGATCACGCTAGAGGTCAGTGGGGTTTGTGGGACCATTAGCTCCCAGAAGAGAGAAGATGCACACATACAGTCACATCATAATGGGGATACATTCTGAGAAATGCATCATGAGGCAATTTCGTCATTGTGCAAACATCATGGAGTGCACTTCACAAACCTAGATGGTATGGCCTAGTACACATCTAGGCTACATATTAATATATGGCCTATTGCTCCTGGGCTACAGACCTATACAGCATGTGACTGTACTGAACACTGTAGGCAGTTGTAGCACAATGGTGTTAGTGCATCTAAACATAGCTGAACATAGGAAAAGTATAATGAAAATACTGTATTGTAATCTTACAGAACCCATGTCACATATGCGGTCCAACCTTGACTAAAATGTCATTACTTGGTGGGTGGCTATTTATGCTTATGACACTTTGGTCCAGCTAAGCTCATTTGGAATCTAGAATAAGTTGTTTAAAGTTCATTTATCTTTTTTATTACAAGTTAGTGATTCTCAGACCTGTAAAATTTTATGCCCCCTTTTTATAACATACTTCATAAGGCTTCTTCACCATTCTGAAATGAAATGTAAATATATTAATAACAAAATTTGCTTACATGTGTACCTTCATCATAAGACTAAGGCCTTTACAAAAATATACAAGAAATTTAAAAAATAATTGATAATAAAAGTACATATTTAAATATGAAAATATGCTTGAGGCCATTAGAGAATATAAAGTTACCAGGGCATGAGCCTTTTCATGGAACAATCACATAGAACATTACAGAGATGGACACAGGGAAGTGGGAAGATTGGCAGGACCTCATTTTCCAAACTGGAGGAGAACTTTGTGTAAAGTTTGGCATAAGCCAAGTACAGTCTCCCCCCATCACCATTTACATAGCAGTTGCAGTCCTAGAAAATCCAGTGTATATTAAAATTGGGCAAAATGCATTGTGTACCTGTGTAAAACAGTTGGATCCTAGGCTCAGATAGTTACAAACAGAATCTCGACCTACATGAATGACCAGCAGGACATTCAAAAGTCCTGCCATGAAAGATGTGGGACAGTTATTACACCGGATCATCCTGCAAATTGCTAGACAGCAGAGCATCTATCATCCCTGGTCCCCAACCACTAGAAACCGGACATGTCTTCTGATTGTTGAGATATCCAAAGGCACCCCTACACATTTCCAAAATGCCCCCTGCAGAGGGGTACTGCCCCTGTTAATAGCCTCTAAATAACGATGTGGTTCTTATCTGTGGGAAACCTGCTAATGTCGGATCTCCATAATACAGTGTAATAAGTGCCATTTTACCCAAGAATGGATTTCCAGGGTAAGACCTCTCTCCATGTTCCTTTTCCTTTCCATTATGCCACATCAACTTTCAGGAAACTGATAGGTCAAGAAGGGAAGGTGTCGTCTGGAAGGCTACGGTGGGTCAGAGGTGGAGAGCCCAACTGTCAGTGCCCGAGCATGTGGTTCTGGACGACGGGAAAGCTGCCTGTTACGTGGACATGTGAAGGCCCCAGTTTTGTCCTCCAGACCTCATAAAGATACCAGGGAAATAGTGGAAGAGAAAATAAGGAAATAGCAGCGTGTAAAAGGAAATAGGAAATAGCACCTTATAATAGGAAATAAGGAAATAGCAGCTTGTAAAATAGAAATGATCATCTTTCTAAACAGTCAGGAATAATAAAACTATAATTTAAATATTCTAGATTTGACTCTATTCATATTTTATCCAGAAGAACAATGGTACTTTACTCTTTTTTTAAAAAGTGTATTTGTATTGTTGGATACACTTGAGAAGTTTTAAAGCATAATATATTCAAGAAGGTTCTTCAGAGAATGCCTTTTATAACCTTAAACTACTGGTTCACCCTATCCCCATAAACAGGAATGCCTTGCTTATAAAATAAAAATTTAGTTGCAAATCAGCAAATAGCTTAATTATTTTATGGAAATACAATCATGGCAGGTTTCCGGATATTTACAAATGTTTGTTTTTTAATGGCGTTTATTACTAATTAATAGCATTGGAAAACATAGTTAATTTTTCAGCTTATATTTTCAAATGCCAAATGTGAATACAACATTTATTAGAAGTTAAACTAATTAATATTAAATATGAAGTCTTTATTCTTATTGATAGAAGCATTTTTAGTTTGATGGTTAGAATAGAGCAGTTGAAGCTTTATTTATAGTAGTGGGAAAGTGAGAAACAACCTAAACACCAAAGCAATAATGTTTTTAAAGAGTATTTAAGGACAGGGGGAAAGGTTTGCAATATAATGGTGGAGAAAATGGGACCTAAAGCAGTATGATTTATTTTAGGAAAGAAATTAAGGCCAGAAGAAAAAAAAACAAAGTGATTTTTCTTTGAGTGATAGAAAATAAGTTTATCTTCTGTACCCCTCCCCCTCTTTTTTAACAATGAGTATGTATTTAGCGAGGAAAAGATTTTAGAGAGAATTGGTTTGGTTCTTATAGAGTAACTCTGCTCTCTCTAGTAAACTTAAAATCTTTTACAATTCTTTTAAAATCAGCATTCCTCCTAAAAACCTCAAAATCCCTGGTTTAATAAAGTGACTAATACAAGTTTTATGTGAAAAGAATGGTTTAGAAAAAGAAGACAAAGCAACTGAGAGGGTTGTTAGAGGCATAGGAAGGCAGAAAAAGTATAGACTCAACACTAGATGGAAGGAAAACTTAAATAGAAACTAAAGGTAATCTTTAAGTGCTAAAATTCCTATTCATAAATGTGATGTATCATGTAAAAGCTCAGATTTGCAAGCCAGTATTACCCAAAATCCAGGATTGAGATTTATTTTACTACTTAAGTATATACTTCACTGCTTATGTTAGTATGTGACCTTGGGCATGTTTCTTAATCTCTGTGAGCCTGTTTTCTTCTTTGGAAAATGTTCTAGGCAATTACATTTTTAATCTTTACAGCAACTCAGTAAGATTGCTATTATTAAGCTCATCTTATAATTAGACAATTGAGGCTGGGAGAGGTTAACCTGTACAAGTTCACAAAGCTAATCACACGTTACAGATACCCGTATCTTTATGACTTTGAAGCCCAAGCCCTTTGTACTAGGCCGCACCTTCTACAAAAGTGTGTTACCTGCCTGTGGATTCCCCATTATCAGGGGAAGGGGAAAGGTAGTGGAGAAAGGGCAACTTTGAGATGTGGGAAGATCATGAACAAGGTAAATACCGTTGCTCTTTCAAACCAGTACTCTTCAAATGTTCAATATATTTCTTAAGAACAGGGAAAATTAAGTTTCGATGAATAAAAAGTATCTGCCTCTGTTTGTAACCCCTATCTGGGTTGGCTCTGATCCCTCTCACAAGCTTCCCAAAGCAAACTTCCATTCACACAAGAGCAGTCCTGAGCAAGTTGGAATCCCATGGGAGCTAGGAAGAAGGGCTCACCCTCTGACATGCGCAGCTCTGCGCTCCAGCGGACAGGCGCTGTTCCGTCTGCGAAGCCACTGCGTCTGCCCCTTCCAGCTCCTGCGCTCGGCGTCTTACTCTGCAGCTTCCCTTCCTCAGTCAGTCCCCCTATCCTGTCTATACCAGCTCTCTGCTGCTAGAGCAGAGGAATTGAGTTCTGCCCCAGAGCTCATCACCCCACCCTCCCCTCCTCCTCTCTTCCCCTCCTCTCCCCTCCCCTCCTCTCCCCTGCATTTCTCAAAAACCATTACCTGCAGATGAAGCCTGGAACAAAATCAGAGTCTCCACTTGTCCAGATCGGTGTCCATTGAAAATAGTTGGGAGGGGGAGGGGGTGTTATATGTAACCAGGTTTTTTTTTCCTACTCTATATTTAAAATCAAGGTAATAGATTTATTCCATGTATTTGAGGGAGGTTAAGCTCACCTGAGGTGAACACTTGACAATGTTTCCAAGCATGTCTTCTAAAATTCCTTGTAAATGTTTAAAGCAGCATGAAGAAAAACCTTAATTTTGTTAAATATTTAGAAGATTTCATTCTCTTCCATCTCTGATTTCCACATTGTGTATGTTTTGCAGGTGATTCCATACATTGAAATATAGTTAATAATTCACATTTTTAAGGTGTACAGTTCATGGGTAGTTAAATATTCACAAGATTGTTCAGTCATCACTTCTAATTCTAGAAAATTTTCATCACCCCAAGGAGAAACTCCGAAGAAAATATTCTAAAATTGGATAGTGGTGACCATTATACAATCTTGTGAATATAATGAACACCACTGAATTATGCACTTTAAAAGAGTGAATTTTATAGGATGTGAATTATATTTCAGTTCAAAAAAGAAAGATATCCCATATTCATTAACAGTAACTCTCTATTCTCCCCTTATTCCCAGCTCCAGCAACCACTACTGATCTGTTTTCTTTCTTTATAGATTTGCCTGTTTTGGACATTTCATATAAGTGAAATCACATAATATGTGGCATATTGTGATTGGCTTTTTAAACTTAGGATAATGTTTTTAAGGTTCATCCATGTTGTATCATGTGTCAGTATTTCATTCCTTTTTATTGATGAATAATATTCCATTGTATAAATACACATTTTTATTCAACTGATGGGACATTTGGTTTATTTCCATGTGTTAGCTATTAGGACTACTGCTCCTAGGAACAGTTATGTACAGGTTTTTGTGTGAGCTTTTCTTTTTAGTTCTCTTGGCTATGTACCTGAGAATAGAATTGCAGAGTCATATAGTAACTGTATGTTTAACTTTTGAGGAACTACTAGGTTGTTTGTCTAAGTGACTGTACTATTTAACATTCCTACCAGCAAGGTACAAAGTTTCCAATTTCTACACATCCTCACCTATGCTTGTTATTGTATTATAACTATTGTATTTATTTTTTGCCAAAGATCTTGTATTTTTTATTGAAAGATCTTTTCCCTTCAATAATGAACATTTTACATTGAAACTTTATACAACCGAAATCTCAAAGTAATATTAAAATCACACTAACATATTTTCATTAAGTCTACTTAATTTTTATTGTTGGTAAAAATATTGCAAGACACTTTAATGTTTCTGCTTTAACTTAAGCAAACTAAACGTCACAAGAAGAGACAATACATACTATACATTTGCAGATAACTAGCTAACATGATAATAGTAATAATGTTTGTGTAAAAAACAATTGCACTTGAAAAATTAAAAAAGTAAACAAAAAAACTCTAGTTTTATATATAAGTCTAAGAACAGAGGTTAATCATCTATAACCTTGCCAGGAGAAATGTATGTTGGTTGAAATTTTTAAAAAAAAGTTTGTGTATGAAGTGATATCTTGTACTTTTGATTTGCATTCCTTTAACAACGAATAATATTGAACATCTCTTCATGTACTTATTAGTCACTGGTATATGTCTTCTTTGGGAAAATGTTTATTCAAATACTTTGCCCGTTTTTTAATTGGATTATGTGTCTTTCTACTTTTGAGTTGTAAACATACTTTATATATTCTGGATGCAAGCCTCTTGTATCTGACATAGGATTTGGAAATATTTTCTCTCATTCTGTGAGTTGTCGTTTAATTTTCTTGATAGTATCCTTTGAATCACAAGAGGTTTTAAGTTTGATGAAGTCTAATTTACCTATTTTTTTCTTTCATCATTTGTGCTTTTTTTGTCATATCTGAGAAATCACTGCCTAATCCAAGGTCATAAAGATTTATGCCTAGATTTTCTTTCAAGAGTTTTATAGTTTTAGCTCCTACATTGAGTTCTTTGATATCTTTTGAATTAATTTTTGTTTATAGGTAGGGGTCTGACTTCTTTCTTTTCAATGTAGATATCCAGTAGTCCAAGCATCTTTTGTTAAAAAGACTATTTTTTCCCCATTGACTTGTCTTGGTGCCTGCATAACATCTTTAAAGCAAATTAGTACAGCTTTGGAGAACACATATCACAAAAGCCAAATTCACCTGCAAGCTATATTTCCTTCATTTGTTTAGCATTCTCTGTTCCTTTGTTTTTTCATGAAGAAAGAGTAGATGCCGGGCACCATGGCTCACTCCTGTAATCCTAGCACTCTGGGAGGCCGAGGTGGGCAGATTGCTCAAGGTAAGGAGTACGAAACCAGCCTGAGCAAGAGCGAGACCCCGTCTCTACTAAAAATAAAAAGAAATTAATTGGCCAACTAAAAATATATAGACAAAATGAGCCAGGCATGGTGGCACATGCCTGTAGTCCCAGCTACTTGGGAGGCTGAGGTAGGAGGATCACTTGAGCCCAGGAATTTGAGGTTGCTATGAGCCAGGCTGATGCCATGGCACTCTAGCCGGGGCAACAAAAGTGAGACTCTGTCTCAAAAAAAAAAAAAGAAAGAGTAGAAAATTAATACAGGAATATCTTGGAAATATTATGAATTCAGTTCCAGGCCACTGCAATAAAACAAATCACACAAATTTTTTGGCTTCCCGGTACATATAAAAGTTATGTTTATACTTTACTATAGTCTATTAAATGTACAGTATCATTATATCTAAAAATACATACTTTAATTTAAAAATATTTTATTGCTAAAAAATGCTAATGATCATCTGAGCCTTCAGCAAGTCATAATCTTTTTGCTGGTGGAGGGTCTTGCCTTGAGGTTGACGGCTGCTGACTGAGCAGGGTGTGTTGGTTGCTGAAGGTTGGGGTGGCTGTGGGACTTTCTTAAAATAATGGTGAAGTTTTGTTACATCAATTGACTTTCCTTCACCAAAGATTTCTCTGTAGCATGTGATACGGTCTGATAACGTTTTACCCACAGTAGAACTTTCAAAACTGAAGTCAGTCCTCTCAAACCCCGCCCACTGCTTTATCTACTAAGTGTATGTAATACTCTAAATCTCTTGTTGTCATTTCAACAAAGTTCACAGCATCTTCACCCAGGGGTAGACTCCATCTTAAGAAACCACTTTCTTAGCTCATTCATAGGAAGCAACTTACTGTTCAGGTTTTATCATGAGATGTCAGCAATTCAGTCACATCTCCACTTCTGGCTCTCCTGCTATTTCCACCTCATCTGTAGTTACTTCCTCCACTGGAGTCTTGAAACCCCTCAAAGTTATCCATGAAAGTTTGAATCAACTTCTTCCAAACTGCTGTTAATTTTGATATTTTGACCACCTCCCATGAATCACAAGTGAGCATCTAGAATGGTGAACCCTTTCTAGGAGGTTCTCAATTGACTTTGCTCAGATCCATCAGAGGAATCACTATCTATGGCAGCGATAGCTGTATAAAATGTATTTCTTAAATAGTAAGAGTTGAAATTACTTCTTGATCCATGGGCTGCAGAATGGATCTTGTGTTAGCAGGCATGAAAACAACATGAAAATCTTTGTACATCTCTCCATCGGAGCTCTTAGGTGACCAGGTTCATTGTCAGTGAGCAATATGCTGAAACGAGTCTTTTTTCCTGAGCAGTAGGTGTCAATAGTGAGCTTAAAATATTCAGTAAACCATTCTGTAAACAGAAGAGCTGACATCCAGGCTTTGTTCCATTTATAGAGCACAAGCAGAGTAGATTTAACATAATTCTTAAGGGACCTAGGATTTTTCAGAATGATAAGTGAGCACTGGCTTAGTCACCAGCTGTATTAGCCCCTAACAAGAGAGCCTCTTTTTTGAAGTTTTGAAGCCCAGGAATTGACTTCTCTCTAGCAAGGAAAGTCCTAGGTGGCTGTTTATCTTTCAATAAAGGCTCTGCGTTGAAAATCTGTTTAGTGTGGCCACTTTCATCAGTGATCTTAGCTAGATCTTCTGGATAACTTGCTGGATAACTTCTCCATCAGCACTTGCTACTTTACCTTGCACTTTTTTGTTATGGAGATGGCTTCTTAAACCTCTTGAACCAACCTCTGCTAGCTTCTGACTTTTCTTCTGCGTCTTCCTTACCTCTCTCAGCCTTCATAGGACTAGAGAGAGTTAGGGCCTTGCTCTGGATTAGGGTTCAGCTTAAGGGAATGTTGTGGCTGGTTTGATCTTCTATCCAGACCTCTGAAATTTTTTCCACATCAGCAATAAGGCTGTTTCACTTTCTTGTCATTCATGAGTTCACTAGAGTAGCACTTTTGATTTCCTTCAAGAACTTTTTCTTTGCATTCACAACCTGGCTGTTTGATGGCACAAGAGGTTTACCTTTAGGCCTGTCTTGGCTTTCAACATGCCTCCCCCACTAAGCTTAATCATTTCTAGATTTTAACTGAAAGTGAGAGTTGCACAACTCTTCCTTTGACTTTAACACTGAGAGGCCATTGTAGGGTTATTAATTGGCCTAATTTCAATAATGTTGTGTCTCAGGGAAGAGGGAGGCCAAAGGAGAGATGGCACGGCCAGTTGGTGGAGCAGTCGGGTCATACACAATGCTTATAGATTAACTTCACTGCCTTATATAGGTGCAGTTCTTGGTGCACCAAAACAATTACAGTAATAACATCAAAGACCACAGACCACTCTAATAGATAATTTAAAAGTTTGAAATATTGCAAGAATTACCAAAATGAGACAGAGAGACAAAAAGTGAGTACATTCTGTTGGAAAAATGGTGCTGGTAGACTTGCTTGACACAGAGTTGCCACAAACCTTCAATTTGTTTTTTTTTTTTTTTTTTTTTAAATATAATGCCTGCATTGCATTTAAGCAATGTGCAATAAAATGAGGTGTGCCTATATTTCCAATTATGTGTGTTTCAGGATGAAGGGAGGAGGTAAAGAGTGCCAAAATTTTAAAAATAGTCATTTCATAAATTTTTTTTTACAGGATGTAATCTCACACAGAACTAAGCTGGATAAGAAAAAAGGAGAAGTATTGAACACGATTGACAAGCATGGAATAAAAAGTTTAAGTAAGGAGAGGAGAAAAACACTAGAAACTTACCAGCAGCTATTTTACCTTTTACAGGTGAGAACAATTTGTCTTTTACTATGAATTTGGGATGAATACTATGTTCCATGTTTGTCGCTTACAGGGGATCTATCCCGGTGCCTTGGCTATAAATAGCTTACATGCTTTGAGCACCTACTAAGTACCAAGTGCACTATCCTAAGTGCTTAACATACATTATTTCATCTAATTCTTAGTATAGCCCTGGGAACCATGAGAGAATAAGTACAGTTATTCCCATATTACAGATGAGAAAACTGAGGCACAGCCAGTAAATGGTAAAACAGGGATTTTAGAACCTAGGCAGTTTAACATCAGACCCCATGCTCTTCGTGATTGTATTATGCTACAGTTCTGTACAGAAACAGTGTAAATCTAATAACATAAACAGATGCTGTCATCCATGAAAAAATGAAAGTAAGTATATGTGAAAACGGATCTTTGCCAGAACCAGCCTACACTTCTTTGAAGGAAAGAGCCAGAGGGTTGAGAGTAGGAATTATGTCTTTTTTATTTTATTATTTTCATGAGTTATTATGATCTAAATGAACAGTAATTTCCCATTGCTTCCAGAGTGCTGGTAAGAACTAAGAAGTTTAGCTGGTTAGGGCTGGACTTTGACAGACCAGTTACTGTTTTGTTTGACCACTGATGCAGCCCATCTGCCCTTGTCACACACACAATTAGTCACAGAGGAAACTGCGTGGTACTGATAGATATAAACCAGCCTCCCCTTCAGCAGGAAAACTTCCAAAAGGTGTGCATCAGTAGCTCTTCCTTGTGAGAGCCAGGTGTCCCTGAGTGCGGGATTGCTGTTTGTGGTGATCTTTCAAGACCTGGTAATGCCTGAATTTTGTTTGAGGATGTCACTGACATTAGATGTATAGAGAGCACATTATATAAACCAGGCATCCTCAAACTACGGCCCGTGGGCCACATGCAGGTGTTTTTGCCTGTTTGTTTTTTTACTTCAAAATAAGATATGTGCAGTGTGCATAGGAATTTGTTCATAGTTTTTTAAAAAAAAAAAACTATAGTCTGGCCCTCCAATGGTCTGAGGGACAGTGAACTGGCCCCCTGTTTAAAAAGTTTGAAAACCCCTGACATAAACCATAAATAAGAGGTGTGGTTAACCCCATTGAGAGAAAATAGGTTACTATGGGTAGAGTTGAAAATTCTCTACTTGGAATAACAGTTTAGAGAACATCATCTTCAAACTATGTAGGTGCCACAGTTAGTAATGCCATGGCAGCATGGAAGGGGAAATGTATAATAGTAGTACTTAGAATTGTCTATCAAATCTACTGCTTAACACCAGCAACCTTTTCAGAAAGAAATGGGGCTCACTTTAAGCAGGGAAGGTTTTTGTTCTGTGTAATTTAGACCAATATTCAACCACCAGTTAGAAATTTAATTTTAGGTACTTTTCATTTTTTATATCCATGCAATTCCAAGCATATGAAGATTCTGTAGGATTTAGTTTTCAAAATTTGACAGAATTTGTCATAAGAAAAGTCACAGTCTAGTCATTGGCCTAAGACTTGTATTATTTGTAAGACCTTATTGTATAAGTGGAGCTCATTCGTGGAAAGGAGAAAAAGCACAGGACCATGTGTAGAATAATTCCACTAAACCTTATCCCCCAAACAGTCCAACACTGGTAATCATAGGGCATGACCATTCAGTTATAGCAAGTGAAATGTCTGTTGAAATCGTGTATTCTTCTCCTCTTCTTCCCTCTCCTTTTGAGACGTTAGCCCAAAATCAAGAAGAAATTATGGAAAGGCAAGTGACCTGGATTTCTCTTCAATTACACCTTAGCAAGAATTCTTAGCCAAAGCAGCAGGTCAGCCAGTGTAGGTTTTGCTTTTGGTTTGTCTCTTCAGTGTAAGCCTAAATTTAAAGTTTTTAGGTCACCTGAAGAGGAATAATGAGTAGCCTTATTTCCTCATCTCCAGAGTTAGTTTCATTTCTCATAATTCCCGTATGTTTAGTTCATGTTAGAAAAGAATCACTACAGGACTATCAAGAAAAAGTCCTGAGCTGCTGATACATAAAATTTCAGCCAGTTGTTATGAGCTTGAAAGTAAACCAAGTAGTAAAGTAAACCAGAATTTGGATTTTCTCAAAAGCTTTAAAACCAAACTGCTTTAATATATTGGATGAACACTGGTTCTCGAATATGGAAACATTTTCTTCTCCAGTCAGAAGGAAGATAAAGATGAGGAACATTACATTTCTCATGTAAATACTTTCTTCTGTAACCTAACTACTATTTTTTCTCCTTTAACCACTACCTGGTTGGTGTAGCTGCTAGAGAAAAACCACATTTCCATGAAGGCTGGTGCTAGATCTCCTGGAATCTGTCCTCAGCTGAGCCCTTAGGGCTCCATGTCACTTTTTTTTTTTTTTTTTTAATTCCCGGAGATCTTTTAAGCTCTTTGTTGTTGTTGTTGTATTGGTCATGGTCTTCTGGCCAGTCCCTCGTCAGCTATCCTGACTTTCACTCCTCTCTTCAGCCTCCCTACCTTACCCTCCCTTCTCCTTATAGGACGTCGTGGCCGTCTCACTGTCTCCACATGTCAATATATATCCTTTCTTCTTTCTCATCTGAGAAGGTGGCATGTGTTTCCTTCCATTCATCCATCAGTCCTCCTAGGTCAGTCTGTGCAGCTGGGCCCTCAGTCCATTCTTGCCAGTCTCTTTGGACCCCAGATTCTGTTAACCACCCCCATCTTCTGCATCTCTACAATATTAATGCGTGTCTCAAAAGGGTTAACAGTGAAAAGTCTATATAATATAATCATATATGTTAAATATAGAGTGTGCAACATTTAAATCCTGTCATAACTTTCTAATATAGCTTCCTATAGCATAGTATTAGTAATATTAGCTGATACCTTTTAAAGTCTTATGTGCCAGGTCCTCATTTATATGCTTTTAATGGCATATTAAGTCATTGAAGAGCAGAGAATCAGATACTACTTTCCACTTGAATGATATATTAACTATCGTTTTGTGGGGATTTCTTTTGTTTTCTTCTCTGTTTCCTTTTAGACCAACCCTTTATACTTGGCGAAGCTGATTTTCCAGATGCCACAGAACAAGTCAACAAAATTTATGGATACCGTCATTTTCACACTATACAATTATGCTTCTAATCAGCGAGAGGAATATCTACTCCTCAAGCTTTTTAAAACTGCTCTGGAGGAAGAAATACAGTATGTATATAAATATGTATATAAAAGTACCAATGAATAGATCCTTTTAGTGATTAGCTATCTATGATTTACTAAAATTATTTTTAAGTTATAAGTTATACGTACATATTAAAATATATCAAATTTCTTGAGAAATTTCTGTCATTAGGGCTATATTCAGGTACAGTTTTCTCTCACAAGTGATACCTTGTCAAGTGTTGAATTAACTTGAGATTTTGCATGTCTGCAACAACTGAAAACCAAAAGTTTATTGAAAGTCGGTGAGAAAATTTAACTTAAAATTCTCTAATAAAGCCATTAATGGGTGGGATTGGAGGGAGGGATCTCTGCCTAAATACTCTTCCCTTCTTACTCAAACTTAAGCTACTTTTGCTAATTTATTTTGTGACTCAGTTATGTAAAAATTATGTAGATAGCTATACTGAATGGGCAAAAAAATGCATTAGAAATGTCCTTAGCCAAGAGGGACCTTAACTGCTCTCTTGACTTTTTGAAACCTAAAGTTATACTAGTTCTTATTGGCTTCTGAAACATATGAGCCAGGCACCTTTGCTATCAGGGTGTCTATAAGCCAGCGTGAGCAATGGTTTGTGAGAAATCGTAATACTATGCAGTGGAGTGTGGTAAGTACTACAGAGGGGCACATACGATGTATCATGTTATAGGGATGAGAAGAAAGGCTCCAGCTAGGTTGACTGATAGATTCTATGAACGAGAAGGTGCTTGGCCTAAAACTTTGAGGAATAGCTACAATTTTTATGAGAAGAGATAGAGAATGGAAATAAGGCACAAAGGTGATAGAAACAGCATGTGCACAGGTGCAAGAAAGAAAGTAGGTATGTCTGGCCAAGGTGTGACTTAATTAGTAACTACCAGGAGATGAAGCTAGAGAGGTAGGCAGGGGCCAGATCATGGGAGACACTGAGTGAAGGCCCAGCCATTAAGGCTATGTTTACTTTCAGAGGAGCTGTGAAAGGCTTTTTGAGTAGGATGTTGACATGACCATGTAGATTTTTTAGAATATTGATCTGCTAGTCCTGGATGAACAATATGCATTGAGGCTGTTCAGGTCAGAGAGATGGGGGAGTCAGAAAGTAAAAAAAAAAAAAAAAAAAAACCAAAAAACTGGATATTTAACATACTGAGCTACAGGTGTAGAACATGTGGGTGAAAACATGTAACAGAAATTGGAAATTCCAGACTGACCCTCAGGAAAGAGACGTGAATTTGAGATTGAGATCAGAGGATAGGTCCCGAAGGGATGGAAGCTGAGGCTGTGCCTGGGAGTGAGTGAGGTCTTGGAGAGAACATGGCCGGACTTTGGTGTTACTGGTTTTTTGACCATTAATCCACCCCATCTGCCCAATAAACACGTACAATTAGTCAAAAAGTGAAAATGGAATTTAAAAGTGGGAAAAAGAGCCAGCAAAGAAAATAAAAAGGAACTGAGCAGGTAAGGTAAGAACCAGCGTGCAACGCTGTCAGGCCCTACAGGGAAAGGAGGTGGAAAAGGGAGAGAGAGAGTGGCCAGAGGGAGGAGGGCAAGAGGTTGCACAGGGATGAAAGGGGAGAGGTTGTGGGAGTCGGCAATCAGAAGTCAATAAGGGCTCTCTCAGCCACCAGATGTGGCTAGAAGGTGCATTGTAATGACTTTGAGTGGGATTTGAAGAAGTGGAGATAGTTCATTCAATCAAGAGAGATAATTTTGAAACTTGGTGGTAACTAGAGGGGGTTGCCACTGGTCCACTGTCTCCCAGTGTTGTTAGTCTTGATCCATTTTCAGGTTATCACTGCTTTCTAGATTGAAATTGAAACTGAGACCTTATTTTTAGATCCTTAAATTGCTCAAATCAAAAACACACCTTACAAATGATTGCTTCCTTTTTTTTTTTGGAGACAGAGTCTCACTCTGTTGCCTGGGCTAGAGTGCTATGACATCAGCCTAACTCACAGCAACCTCAGACTTCTGGGCTCAAGTGATCCTTCTGCCTCAGCCTCCCAAGTAGCTGGGACTACAGGCATGCGCCACCATGCCCGGCTAATTTTTTCTATATATTTTTAGTTGGCCAATTAATTTCTTTCTATTTTTAGTAGAGATGGCGTCTCGCTCTTGCTCAGGCTGGTTTCGAACTCCTGACCTTGAGCGATCCTCCCGCCTAGGCCTCCCAGAGTGCTAGGATTACAGGTATGAGCCACCATGCCCGGCTTGATTGCTTTGTTTGAAAGCACACCAACTTTGATCTTCATAGAGAAAAAAGTACCTCCACAAAGCCCTGCCTTGCCAAAGAGTATACATTGTTTAAAACCTTATCTGTGGAAGCAAACAATCCATTTTGTTTTGAATTGGTTTTTTGATTTTTTTGTTATTGTTGTTTTTAGATTGAAGGTGGACCAGGTACAGGACATAGTTACAGGTAACCCTACTGTAATCAAGATGGTTGTCAGCTTCAACAGAGGTGCCCGGGGACAGAACACCCTGCGCCAGCTCCTGGCCCCCGTGGTGAAAGAGATCATCGATGACAATTCCCTGATGATCAACACGAGCCCTGTAGAGGTGTACAAGGCTTGGGTGAACCAGCTAGAAACACAGACAGGAGAGGCCAGGTAAGAGTCAGGAAGGTGTCGGGTTTTGATCATGTTTTATGATTATTGTTACATGTGCATTTGTATCTACTATTAAACTCTGTCTTTGAGCAAAAAAAAAAAATGTACTGTACAAAGTCAGTTTTCAACCCAATATTTTACCTCTCTTTAACGTATCCATGCAGATCACACTCTTAGATTCTTGGTCATCTGGATACTAAATGGCATTTTAGATTTCAGAGCTAGTTGATCCCAGTGCTACAACTTATGTAATTCTCTCCCTTGTTTATTCTTTGTATGTTTCTAAGCCCAGACCTGGAGATGGTTCATGCTCAGTCTTCACCTGATAATATGTCTTTTACGTTACCAAATGATTAACTTTAATGTGTAAAGATTAACAATCCAGGGATCTTATTCTGGATGGTTATTTATAGATCCAAGCAATCCTAGCTTTTTATTTCCTGTAAAGGATGTCTTGTGAAATACTACATGTACACAGAATTGTGTGAGTGGTTGTCACACTTTCTAATAGGAAAAGTCAAAACATTTAGCTTTAGGGGATTTATTAAATAAATATTTGTATAGCACATGATGGAATAAATATTTGGAATAGTGGTTTAGATATGTATGTATTGGAACAAAAAATGTTCATGATCTATTTTTCAGTTGCAGTTAGGTATATGATAACCCATTTTTCTGTTAAAAAATCAGTCATGTATATACACACAAACACAGGATCTGTGTGGGATGTCTTTATGCACAAACTGCATTACACCCATGAATATGTGAGGCCCATGTACACATATGCATAGATAGAGGAAGACTTGGAAAGTTATTTACTAAGGTATGAAAATTGGTTGTCTCTGCATTGGTATTTTTGTTGTTGTTGTTTGCTCCTATGTGATTTTTTTCTGTAATGATCATATTGCTTTTTATAATTAAAAAAAAAAATGAAAAGAAAGTAAGCTAGCTGTGTCCACATTACCTGGGTCTGCCTATTATTTTGCCAGAAGAGCCTAGAGGGCGGTCCTGGAGTCCTGCCTGCTCCAGTAGTGGCAGAAGGCACCCCCTGCACATGAAAAGCTTCCCTTCCCTTAGCCAACATTTTGTTATTAGAGTCACTGGGCAAAGTCAGATTCACTATACAGAGCTTGACTGTAGAACCAACTTGGCAGGAGTATTGATGCTTGTACCCAAGCCTCCAATTAATTTAAAGCCCCTGTTGTATTTTCAGCAAGCTGCCTTATGATGTGACCACAGAACAAGCTCTCACATACCCAGAAGTGAAAAATAAACTGGAGGCCTCCATCGAGAACCTGAGAACGGTCACCGACAAAGTCCTGAATTCTATCGTTTCTTCCCTGGATCAACTGCCGTAAGTGGCATTTGTAGCAACTTTTAACATTCTCTGCTGAAAGTTCTTGGAATGCCATGTAAAATAAGCCCCCTGTAGTGAAAACAGGAGTTATCCCTCATATTGTGTTTTACCATTTGTGAAGACTGCGTACATTTACCTTTTAAATTCATAACTGCTCTCTACAGAGGGAACAGTATTTCTGTCCTAGCCACAAACACGGCTCGGTTATTATCATCAGTGCAAGTCCTGTGATTCCATTACCATCTCATTTGATGTTTAATTTTTAGGGTAACTGCTCAGCTTTAGTTGATTGGAACAGGCACTGTGTGTTTTTTTCTCACTTAGCCTTTTTCCATTATTTTCTTTTGTCATCTGTTTTGTATGTAGTTATGGATTGAGGTATATAGCCAAAGTACTGAAGAATTCGATCCATGAGAAATTCCCCGATGCAACAGAAGATGAGCTATTAAAGGTAGATTTTCAAGGGTACTCTCACCATAGCTTCTCTTGGGGGTATGAACCAAAATTACTGACATACTGTTTTGTAAGACTTTTCCCCCATGGCTGGCTGTTTATAATGAGCTACAGGTCTTCTATTTCTAATGCCCCTTCAAGATTGTTGGTTAAGCTGAGGTCAATTTGGCGATCTCAGACATTATTGAATTCTTTGTATTAGAGCATTTTGGGGGAAATACACGTATTTTTCACCGAACATAATTTTGTAAATTACTTTATTAGTGATGTGTGATTATATTCACTGCCTTTACTTCTTGTTAGGATTCACATCAGAAAATTATCTACTTTCTCTTAAAAAATATAAATAATATATAATTTTAAAATAACTGGAAACTCTTGAGTTTTCCCTCTTAAAAATGGTCTTTTTCTTCTGCATCGCTCCAGATTGTGGGAAACCTGCTGTACTATCGGTATATGAACCCAGCCATCGTAGCTCCCGATGGCTTTGATATCATTGACATGACGGCCGGAGGCCAGATAAACTCTGACCAAAGGAGAAACTTAGGATCCGTGGCCAAGGTTCTTCAGCACGCAGCCTCCAACAAGCTGTTTGAAGGAGAAAATGAGCATCTCTCATCTATGAATGATTATTTATCAAAGACATATGAAGAATTCAGGTGAGAGGAGCCCTTAGTTTCAGAGAAACATGCAAGAATGGTGGGCAAGGGTAGCCTGTGTTTTGTGCCCAGAGCTGGAGGGAAGACAGGAACCCCAGGTGGCCACATGCATTTCTTCTCCCCGTTGCCACTGGGGGGAAAGGGCAGGTAGGTGGGAGAATAGGCAGGGCTGCTTCTGCCTGGTGTCTCCATCCCACCCCACCCCCAGCCCTCCTGTCATGCTGAGTCCTTCATGTCTGGCTCCTGCTACTAACACAGTGGGGTACTTACTCTTCCTGGTATGCCACACACTAGGAGTACTTAGAATTTAAAAATCAAAATAGCTGATTCTGCTTTGTTAAACTTCAGAAGAGGGTGATGATTTTTAAGTTTTCTAATCAGTAAGAACTTGCCTCACCTGAATCAAATGCAGCCGGCCTTGACAATGGGTTGGAACTGCTTGGGTCCACCGACATGGATTTTTTTTCAACTAAACACAGATGGAAAATATGTAGATTCATGGGATGCAAAACCCATGTATAGAGAGGGCTGACTTCATATAAACAGGTTCTATAAGGTCAACTATGGGACTTGGGTATGTGCAGATTTGGGTATACTTGGGTGTGGGGGTCCTGGAACCCCAACCCCCCATGTATACCAAGGGACAACTATCATAGGAAAAGGGAGTATTTGATTTTGAAAGGTTGGGAAAACCCAAATTTTATATTTGTTGATTGTGTGTGAATTTGTTCTATTCTGAAGCCTTTCTTAGTTGTACACGTCAGATTTAATTCTGTTGACTTTGTGTTTCCAAATTATATCACTAATCATTCCACATGGACAAGAAAGGTATGAGTCCAGTAGTAAGATTCCCTCATCCTGAAGCTCTCTGAGGAAATTTTCTTCTTGGCATTTGTCCTCTCTGCCATTTCATCAGTAGGTCCTAGAAGTGTAGCATGAATTTGGCCTCTTTTGGTCCTCACTTGGAAAATTATTTCCCATTCTTCACTTTTCCTCTGGGTTAGTGACTTAACTAGCAACAAAGGTAGTTCATGATCATTCATCTCTCTTTAGAATTCATGGCCTTTTGTGAAAAAAATATTCTCCAAAAAAGAAGCCTCCCTTCACCTCCTCTTAAATTCATCCTCTCTTTTCCACTCATATTTACTCATTATGGTCCTCAGAAACCCATGAAATATCATTGCCAAAGCACAGAAAGCCAGACGTAGTGGCTCACACCTGCAATCCTAGCACTCTGGGATGCCAAGGCGAAAGGATTGCTTGAGGTCAGGAGTTTGAGACCAGCCTGAGCAAAAGCAAGATCCCAGCTCCACTGAAAATAGAAAAAATTAACCAGAGGAGGTGGCATGCACCTGTAGTTGCAGCTATTTGGGAGGCTGAGGCAGGAGGATTGCCTGAGCCTAGGAGTTTGAGGTTGCAGTGAGGTATGATGATGCCACTATACTCTACCCAAGGGTGAGAGAGGACTCTGTCAAAAAAAAGGAAGGAAGGAAGGGAGAGAGGGAGGGAGGCAGAGAGGGAGGAAGGGAGAGGCAAAAAAGCACAGGAAGGCTTATTGTCATGGGGAAACATGCTCCACCCCAACATGGCTGCCTACCTTGGGCTGGGAAGGCAGAGGTTGTTCTGGTACATGAGCCTCAAGTTTCCGTAGGAGAGATTCCAAGGATGATTTCAGGCATATGAGACATTTACAACTCTGTAGAATAAAATACATATTCTACCTGTGCAAAGGCTGTTTGGCCAAAAACTATGTGGGACAATTCCTAAACTGTGATCATAGCATGCTTGGCTTTTCTTGATCTGTTTATATGTGTATATCTTAAAATAGCCTTTTTAGGGTATCAGTACTGGGACATTTTTATGTATTTGAGTGTCTGGTCTTAACAGTCTTTCCAATGGTCAGCAACTATTGTCTGGACCAATTAACACTAGAGTAGATTTAACTCTCATTTTTATCAAACTGGTTACAGAAGCTCTGAAGTTAATCAGGGTGTTGTAGGCCCAGGAGCTTGTGCCAGTAGCAGATTTGATGAATTGCTTTTTGGATTGTATTCTCTATAAAGATTTGATTCTCAGATCAAGAAATTTTCTTGGCTTTTTAATTTAAACTCCAGGAGCCATTTTTGGAATAATAACACTTTTAAGATGACCTGTGCATAGTTTGATCACAGGTCCTTACCACTGTCCTCAATCCTGTGTGAAGAGCAAGGTTCAGCATCCAAATACGTGGACTCAGCCGTCATAGTCAGGAGCCAGGCTTGAAGAAGCTGTACCAAGTCCCCCCAAGGCTTGGGGTGGAAACGGACACTGGCCATCATTCAAAATTGCCATGAAGCTATTTAACTCCTAAGTTTGCCTTTATCTTAAGACTTTTTCCCCACTTTATTAGGAAATATTTCAAAGAAGCATGTGATGTCCCTGAGCCAGAAGAGAAGTTTAATATGGACAAATACACAGACTTGGTGACAGTCAGCAAACCAGTCATTTATATCTCAATTGAGGAAATCATCAGCACACATTCGGTAAGTGGGGTGGTTTGGGGGGCGGGACTGGACTTGTGGTCCAGTCTGTTGTCTTGAAAATGTGTAGTCTCTGCAAACTTACTATACACAGGTGCTAATATTCATATTCTTAACCCTAAAAATCCCTTGATTATTTATTCCCTGGCTCTCATATATTAATAATATGCCTTCTCCCAAAGAAGAAAGTTTACTTTTGACATGATCCGCGTACGAAGCCAGATTGTAAATATGGACTTTAAGCCCTGAGCGGGGGCAGGCCCTGGTGTTCTCCCACCCACCAAAGCTGTGCTGTCTAGACCCACACCCTGCCGTTCCCCTCTTTCAGGAATCCACTCAGGTTTTCCAGGGATCTTCTGGGGAAGTGAGAATGTTCTCTGTATCCTAATGTTTGCACATAGGTCACAAACGGGCTGCTCACGGAAGACAGGAAGCCACCACCCGACAGTGGCCTCCTGCAAAGAATCCCTTCCATTGTTTTAGAAGCCCCCACTTCTTGGAAGCAGGCAGTTTCCCACCCTGTGCTGTCATAACTTCTCCATCTGGTTCCCGTGTAAACATCACCATCAGCCATTAGCATATATTAAGTGCCACTGGGGGCACGGAAGCCTCAGATAGATGGCTTTTCAATCATTTAAAGTAAAAAGAGAAACTAAGCATTGAGGGGTTTTCGTTTCGGTTTTGGTTTTTAAAGGCCAACTGGAATTTATTTTCTGAAAAATCTAGGTTTTTAAAGGCTAATCTTTTCAAGAATAGTTTCAGACTTTGCTTGTGAAAGCAAGGTCCTGGGGATATGTTAGAAATGCACCCAAGACCTCCCAAATTAGAACCTGCATTCTAACAAGGTTCCAGGGGCTGCAGATGCAATTTAGCCTTCTAGATGCCTCAATCTGATTTTGGATTATACGGACAACTAGGGAGAATGCATAATACACACCTCCAGAAGGTCATGTTTCTGCCCCCATCAAACCAGATATACTAACAAGTGGCAGATTGCCTTCTTAAAATTCCAGTTTTTATTATTAAGCTCTTCTAAGAAACTAAAGCTTGAATGTGGGCTTGAGGGAAAGATTGGGTCTAGTTTTGATATCCCTTTTTTAGAGTTAGAACAGGGAACTTCTCTGACATTTGCAACAAGCTCTTGATTAAATGAATAGGCTAACCTTCTTTTCTCTATGCATAAACTCCCCAAATCCACAGTGGTGCTCAGCAATACACCATTTACAATACTAATTTTCTAATGGGCAAATAGACTGATTCATACTTGAGCAATGACCCATTTGTCTATTTTTATGGTACATTATCCCTCTCAGAAAAAATGTGCACATCTTGGCTGCACCTTTGCTTAGGGTAGTATCTACATGCAAAAAAATAAAATAAAAGTGGTGAGGAGTTCTTCTTTTATAGTAAGAGATTCTTTCCCAAGGGTAGCAGAGAGGAAAAATGTTACTGTATTAATTTAGACTACTCATCTTCAAGGAGAAACAGTCTGTTCCTTTTGTTAACAAGAATTGCAAATAGAATCCAGTCCTGGGAAACTGAGCTTGTGACTGATTTGGAATTCCTTCGTGTGTTAGGTTGGAAACAGATGTAACAAGGGGAAATTGTGTAATTACAGAGAAAGACTGTCCTGTTTACTGTCTGCCTTGTTTGTGGAGGCATCCACGTGCAAACGTAAGCACAGCAGTAGTGTGACTGACCAAGCTTGGGGCCACATGCTTGCCTCTCCCTCTCTAAGGAATATGTACAACTTCAAAATAAGCTCTTTAAGGAGACATTTTCAGGAATTTTTTTATGTTCTGTAATTATCAGAATAGGGGAAAAGCTGGCCACCTAAATCATCCATTTCCAAAGAAAGCAGCCAGATCAGCTGTCCTGTCTCTTCAGAGAACAAGAGCATAAATGTATCCCTCTTGTTTTGTTCTTTTCTCTAACTTGTTTCCCCCTAAAACACTGTATGTACCACCCTTCCAGATTCCACCATGTCTTTATATCACCTCTATTTAATGTCTTTCTTTGAATCAACTTATCTTTGTAAAAATAATGCATATTTCTTTGCTTTAAAACAAAGTACCTCTATTATAACAAAATACTAGCATGCCTTGCAAAAAACAGAAACTGTAGAGGAAAATGAATATAATGAAAATAAAATAATTGGATATAGTCCTTCCTTGCCTTAAAACTATGCATGTAAGGTGTACTCTGCCTTTGTTAAAAACCCTATTAGCAAGTGTCAGGGAAGTGTCCAGTGTTAAAGAAAATTTAGCATAAAACAGACACTCTCCCCTACATTAATCTTAAGGATTAAAATGGAAATGGAAAAGGCAGTAATCAAAGCGGTGCTATGCTGGCATAAGGGTAGACATCAGATCGATGGGATAGAATTGAGAGTCTAGAAATAAACCCTCAAACTTATGGTAGGAACTAAGACAGTTCAATGAGAAAATAGTCTTTTCAACAAATGGTGCAGGGACAGCTAGAAATCCACATGCCAAAGCATGAAGTTGGGCTCCTTTCTCTCCCCCCATACAAAAATGAACTAAAGACAAATCATAGATCTAAATGTAAGAGCTAAAACTATAAAACTCTTGGAATAAAACATAGGAATAAATCTTTGTGACCTTGGATTAGGCAGTGGTTTCTTAGATAGGACACAAAAGACATAAGCAGCAAAAGAAAGAAATTGGACTTCATCAAAATTGAAAACTTTTGTGCTATAAACAGTGCCATCAAAAAAATAAGAAGACAATTGAGAAAATGGAGGAAATGATTGTAAATAATATATCTAAGGGTTTTATATATAGAATATACAAAAAAATCCTACAACCTAATGATAAGAAATAATCTAATTTAAAAATAGGCAACTATACATCAAAGGATATAATCAACTGAGTGAAAAGGCAGCCTATGGAATGGGAGAAAATATTCATAAATCTTATCTCGTAAAGGGTTTATATCTTACCTGTATAAAGAACTTCTACAATTCAATAACAAAACAACCCAGTTGAAAAATGAATGAAAGACTTAAATAGACATTTCTCCAAAGATGTACAAATTGTCAAAAAGCACATGAAAAGATGCTTAACATCACTAATAAGTAATAACATTACTTTATAATAACATTACGTAATAAGTAGAGAAATAAAATCAAAATCACAATGGATAGTGCCTCACATCCATTAGGATGACTGATATCAAAAAACAATAACCAGTGTTAACAAGAATGAAGAAAATGGAGCCCTTGTACACTGCTGATGGGAACATAAAATGGTGTAACTGGTATGGAAAACAGCATGACAGTTTCTCCAAAAATAATAATTACCACGTGATTCTGAATGTATACCCAAAAGAATTGAAAGCAGATTAGAAGAGATTTATGCATTCATGTTCACAGCAGCACTATTCACAATAGTTACGTGTTCATGAATAGATGAATGGATAAAATGTAGCATATCCATACAGTAGAATATTAATCAGCTTTAAAAAGGAAGGAAATTCTGATACATACTACAACATGGATGAACCCTGAGGACAGTATGCTAAGTGAAATAAGCCAGTCACAAAAAGACAAATACTGTGTGATCCCACTTATATAAAGTACCTAATAGAGTCAAATTCAGTGACAGAAAGTAGTTAGTGATTTCCAGGAGTTAGAAGGAAGGGATGATGGGGAATGACTGCTAATTGGGTACAGGGTTTCCTTTAGGGTAGTGAAATGTTCCAAGGTTAGATAGTGGTGATGGCTGCACAACTCTACCAAAACCTATTGCAACATACATTTTAAATGAGTGGACTTTATGGTATGTGAATTATATCTTACTAAAACTGTTGGAAATAAGATTGGAAATGGAAAAGGGACTATATCATGATTCAGATAGTTCAAAACAACTAAAATTATACCTCCCTTCACCAGGGATAACAGTCTCATACTTTAGAAACATTGTTAATGCAAACAAAAGCAGATGTGTTATCCTCCGTGGTTTTCCCTCCAATGCTGCTATTCTTCAACAGGTAACCAGGTTTCCTCTAAGACCTGGCAAGATACCCTAGTGGTAGTTACTCATGTTTGAGCCTTTTGGGGGTCAGGAAAGGGGGAACCATCCAGTACATCTAGGTCTCAGGCATTTCTGCCATCCTTACCCATCAAAGAGCTTTAAGACAGATTACAATAGCTAATGGTGATTTTAAATGATAGTAACTGTAGTGTTTTATTACTGCATATATTTTTCTTTGAAGGGAGATGGAAATGCACTTCCAGTTTTCTACCAGGATTAGCTGAGAGACTTCTGCCTCATTCTGGACTCTATCCCTGCAACTTTTTTTTTTTTATATAAAGGTAGAATGGAGCACAGAGGTTAGGTGATGGAAGGCTGCCCCTTGGCAGGTCTTGCAAGGTCTTGCTGGAAAAGCGTTTATGAATACCTTTCTTGCTACAATTAATTGATGTAGAGCAGGCATTCCCCTCTGAGATAAAATAAAAACTATGTCTTTGGTGGTCCCTAAGTTTACTAAATGTTAGACTTGTATTTAAGATTTAAAGGGTATCAGGAGCAAGTTATCATGAAAAACTAGAAAGGGAACTATATAAATATGGTAACAGGTGAGAATTTACTTTTACGTTTGTATGTGTTGCCTTCCACATAAAGCTCCTGTTGGAACACCAGGATGTGATTGCCCCTGAAAAAACGGACTCACTGACTGAGTTGTTGGGGTTGCTGGGAGACGTACCTACTGTGGAATCTTTTCTTGGTAAGACCTTGTGCCTTCTACTTATACCCTTGTTTTTGTTTAGTTGTTTTTGTTGGTTATTTGGTTTTTGTATTCTAGATTTAGAAAAAAATATTTGGAATTTGATACTTAAGCTTATTTAAAAGATAATAACTATACTTGCGCTTTCCCACAGCAAGAGTTCTGCAATTGATAGTGTCCTGAATTGTAACACAATTTGATATTCTTAAAGGCAAGCTCCAGATATATCCAAAAGGATTTGTCAACCTGGACTTGATATTTGATACATCCAAAAGGATTTGATACTCTTAAAGGCAAGCTCCAGATACATCCAAAAGGATTTGTCAACCTGGATCATAAAAAAAATCATTAAAGAACCAAATTTATTAGATAATGAGAAATTCCTTACTGTGTTTTCTAAGGATATCTTTTATTAACAGTTCTGTCTTTTAGTAATTTATTCATATTTGGAATGTCTGTGTCCTATGTTATTTTAATGTTTCAATCAAATATTTTTAAAAGCCACTTCAGCTATAGTAGAATGTGAGTTTTGTGAAGACCGTGATCTCCCATCCAATTACTGATCCTAACTTTCCCACAGAACCTTTGTGTCATACTACCTCATTGGTTCCATCATCACAAATGGGTGAATTAGAAGAGTAACACTGTTGTTTTTTTCTACAGGGGAAGGAGCAGTTGACCCCAATGATCCTGACAAGGAAAGTATACTAAATCAACTCTCAAAGACTGAGATTTCCCTTTTCTTAACAAGCAAATATGACATAGAGGATGGAGAAGTTATAGATGGCAGAAGCCTCATGATACAGTAAGTTGGGGTTTAATGGGCACGTGTCTCCAATTACATGTCTGAAACCATGCAAACTCAAATATGGCTAATCCCAAATAATTCATCCAAGAGTATGTGAATGTTGAAGTGCATTCTGTTTGTCCAGCAAACCAGTACACAGTCTGTCAAGCTGCAGGACTAGTACATATCTAACCAAAGGGTAAGGGACTTCTTATAATTTAGGAAGGAACTAAATATTATTATAGCGTACAAAGCCTGCCTTAGTTTTTATCAATAGTTTCCCATGTAGTAATTTGATTCCTTTAAGAAATGAATTGGATTAACTCAGCCTATGAAAACCCTTCAGTAACTGAACGGAAATATCTATTTCAGAGTGGTCAAAAGATTAGTGACAAAATTCCTTTAACCAAATGTAATTTCTAGTATAAAATATAAAAAGGCACACCTACAATAAGACACTATGATAGCATCTGACTTACTGGCCTTCTTTCCTATTAAACTAATCCTGGATATGTTTACCAGCTTTGACTTTATTTATACCCTGCTTCCTGTCCCCAAAGACTTCAAGGGGAGCATTCACACTTTAATACTCTGTTTTTTTCATTAAGGCTTCATGGATATTCCACATCAATCCTTTACACACAGAGTAAGAAAGAATGAGATTCATGATGTGATACCATAAATCCAGAACACCATAAATCAAAAACACATGCTCAAACAATGCAATTTTCAAGAATTACATAAACAAAAAGATGCACATCAGCACATTAGAATTGTCATGAATTGGGGCAAGGTGGAGACTGGAAGTGGGAAATGGGGACAAAAGGGAATAAGTAAATATTGAAGCAATACTTCACACGTTACTTCCAAGCCACATGTCCTGAGTTCTGAGATGGTTTTTATTTGTGATAAGAGCTTTCTGTCTGCCACTGACATGCTCCAGACACATTCATTTCCACTCAATTTTTTACAGATATTCAGTCACGTGTGAAAATTACAAAAATTTCTTGTATCGCTGTGTTGTGATATGTGCAGCTTCTGTTAGGCTTGTTTATTTGGTCCTCAGATCATCTAAGGCTCCATTCGTTCACATAGCAAATGTTTGAGTTCCTACTTGCGTCCATGCCCTGGGCTTGAGGCTGGGGACGTGGGGGTGAGCAAGCCCATCACAGCATCTGCCTTCCAGGGGTTTTTGGAGTCTAATGGTGGAGAACACAGCTCAACTGTAGGACAGAGGCCAAGCTGCAGGACTAGGACATATCCCTGGAAAGGGTTCAGGGCACAGCAAGAGAGACAAGAAGGAAAGTGGTGAAGTCTGTCCCTAGGTTCCTCTCAGCAAGTGCCAGTTATAAAGATGACAGGAAATACTGAGTGTGTGGTTCCACCATGAAAATGAAATTAAGCCAAGTATCCCATGGTCTCATAAGCTTTGTCTTTAGAAGTAATAGGAAGAAATTTTTTTTATTTAGTTTTGTCTGCTATTTGAATACCATTTTCTAAATGCACTCAACTGAAATGTCAACTTTAATGAATGGGAATCGCAATTTGAGTAGTCCAAAATATCAAATAATCTGAATATCATATATATGTATACTTATTTCTTAACATGGGTCTCCTTGGTTCTGGGAATTCTTAGAACTCACATTTTAAAAACAAAACCATAAAAGTTTCAGGCATGTGGGGAAGCAACGTGTCTTAGTCTAGGAAACCTGGCACATTGGAAACTTGGCTTGCCTCACCCAGCTCAGCCCTTGTGTGGCTGTTTCCCAGGCTCAAGGGTGTGCTGGGAACAGACACTGTCTACTCCTTTAATCACCATACCACATAGAGCCAGCCAGCGGTTTTATTTTTTATTGTGGTAAAATACACATAGCATAAAAATTACCATTTAACCATTTTAAAGTGTACAATTCAGTGGCATATTCAGTACATTCACAGTGTTGTACAACCATTACCACTAATTCCAGAATATTTTTATCATCTCAAAAGTGAACCCTGTTCCCATTAAGTAGTCACTCCCTATTCCCCTCTGTTCCCCAGCAACCACTAGTCTGCATTCTGTCTCCATGAATTTGCCTATTCTAGATATTTCATATAAGTGGAATTGTATCATTTATGGCCTTTTGTGTCTAGCCTCTCTTACTCAGCATATTGTTTTCAAGGTTCATCGATGTTGTCACATTTACCGATACTTCATTTCCCTTATGGCTGAATAATATTCCATTATCTGGATATACCATATTTTCTTTATCAGCTGAACAGACATTTGGGTTATTTCCACATTTTGGCTATTAGAATAACGCAACTACATATGTTCATGTACAAGTTTTTGTTTGAACAACTGTTTTTAGTTCTTTTGAGTATCTACCTATGAGTGCAATTGCTGGGTCATGTAGTAATTCATTGTTCGGTTTTTGGAGAACCACCAACCTCTTTTCCACAGTGGCTGTACTATTTTCTGTTCCTCCTGGCAAAGTATGAGAGTTCCAATTTCTCCACATTCTTACCAACACTTTTATTTTTTTCATAATGGCCATCCTAGTGGGTGTGAAGTAGTATTTCACTGTGGTTTTGATTTGCAAATAACTGACTATTAACATTGAGGATATTTCCACATGCTTGTTGCCCATTTGTATATCATCTTTGCAGAAATGTCTATTCAAGACCTTTACCCATTATTAAATTGAATTGTTTGGGGTTTTTTGTTCCAGAGTTGTATTCTTTATATATTCTGCATAGCAGACTCTTATCAGATACATGACTTGCAAATATTGACATTTTTTGCCACTTCTGTGGATTTTCTTTTTACTCTCATGGTGATGTCATTTTCTGCACAAAAGTTTATCTGGATGAAGTCCAGTTTATCTATTGTTGTTGTGAGATTTACTCCTATGTTTGCTTCTAAGAGTTCTATAGTTTTTGCTCTTACATTTAGGTCTATGATCCTTTTTAAGTTAATTTTTGTGTGTGGTATGAGATAGGTTTCCAACTCCATTCTTTTGCATATAGGTGTCCAATTGTCCCTGTACCATTTGTTGAAGAAGCTATTTTTTTCTCCATGGGATGGTCTAGGCACCCTTGTCCAACTGACCAATTGACCATACATGAATGGCTTTACTTCTGGACTTTCTATTCCATTGATTTTTATGTCTACCCTTATGTTACTACCACAACATATTAATCACTGTAACTTTGTAGTAAGTTTTAAAATAGGAAAGTCCTTGAATTTTGTTCTTTTTCAAGATTGTTTTGGCTATTTGAAGCCCCTTGCAGTTATATGTGAATTTCAGGATCAACTTTTCCATTTATGTAAAAATGACTTTGGGCTAGTGTTTTGAAAGATTTGATAATTCACTGCTTTACAGAGTTTTGGGGTCTCAAAGGCCTTCCTGGGGTGGGGTGGGCAAACAGATCCTGCTGTTGGCATAGCACTTCACTAAACACACCATAGTGATTAATGTGGCTAACAATTTGAAATCAAGATTGACCAAGTAGCATCCTTAAAAGTGTGAAATTTGGGTATTTCCCTAAAGACTCAATAGAGTTAGCTCTATGATTTTAGTCAAGCCTTACTTTTAAATATATTATACGTCCTTTAAAATATATATTTGAAAAGTCTTGATACTAACAGATAATAACAAAGTATAGCATTGACAGGAAACCTGAAAACTGTCTGTTTATCTTTGAGATGAGGAAAAGTACAGTCTGAAATTATGTGAAACAAGTAATTAGTCACTGACATGCTTTAAGTTTGTATGTTATATTTCATTAACATTCCATCAAAATACACTTTGAAATATTGATTTGAAAACTCTTTTATGTGTGTGACTTTTTCCTAAGGTAATGAACCGAATTTCTGACTCAAGCATAAGATACGGTTCTTGAGACTCTTCATTAGAGAGCCAAATTTAACTAAAATCAAACAGTGACTTTCACAAGTTATTACAAAGTGGGCATAGTTGGGACGTGAGAATACCTGGTTTTTTTCTATCAGAGTATTTTACTTCCTTGTTAAATAAGTCATGTCCTTAATTTTCACAAATGCTCTCTTATGTTTAATTACAAAGTCACTGGCTTTCTAGTGATGAGTACTTCATCTTTATGGGGGCCCCCACAGTAGCAGAATTTGAGGTATTATTACTCCTTCTGCTTGTAAATTTAATACCATGCTAGTCTCTAATGATTTTTACTCATTGGATGAGAGTGAAGATGATGATAACAAACACTGTGTGTAGAGCTGACCATGGACCAGGGGCAGTTTCTATATACTCTGTGTGTACATGCATCTATGCAAACATAAGGTGAGAAACCAAATCCAAAATGATTCAAAGTCCAAACTTTTTGATCATTAACATGACACTTAAAGGAAATGTTCATTGGAGTATTTCAGATTTTTGGATTTGGGATGCTTAACCAGTGTAAGTATATGATACAAACGTTCCAAAATCTGGAAAAGTCTGAAATCCAAAATACTTCTAATAAGCCTTTCAAATAAGAGATCCTCAGCCTGTAAAAGAGAGAAGAATGTGTATGTCTACTTATTAAAATAAATATGTGTAAATTATGGAACACTTGCAGCAACCCCCAGAGAGTGGAGATTATTACCAATGATTCACAGATGAGGAAACTAAGCACAAAACAGATATAAGCCTTTTCCTGGGCAATACAGCTAGTAAGTGGAGCAAGACTCAAACCCAGATGATCCTAAATCCTCCAGGGTCTACACTCTTGGTCACAAAGTTCTACAACTTGTTGAGGTCAAGGTCATTGTTTTTTGCATTCTTAGGAGCCCTAGAATAAATAATGTGCATTACAGCTGGGCAGATATTGCATAACTGTTATTGGGGCATCTTTCTAAGCCAAAGAGGAGATGCCAACAGATGTATGCAGGGTACATACTGGAGTAGGAAGAAACATTCATTTCTCTTCCCCTTCTGTATGTGTAGGAGCACAGGACCTCAGTGTGTGCTCTTGCTGTTTCCCCAGTACTGCCAAGCATAGTGGTATTAAAAAGAAAAACAGAAAAGCCTGGTCAAGGAGTCCTGGGATAATATAGGGTAACAGCCTCAATGTGTCACATTTGAGCTATAGGACTCAGCAAGTTGCCTAAGCATCAGTTTCCTCATCCCTAAAGTGGAGGAGAGGAGGGAGGGAGGGCTATGGCAGCAGTAACACCTTAAAAAGAATGAGAAGGTTCTTAATAAGATGTTAATTGTCAATCTTTCATTATAACTTATGATTCAACTTAAAATATGTGATCCTTATGGCCTTTGTTAAGCTTGTTTTCCCAAGTATGTGTGTTTAAGCAGAAGGCGGTATTTGTGATTTTTAATCATACTTAGCTACTCGAGTGCTTAAGTTGTCATCTCTCAAGAATTTGTTTCCTATCACATGATTCAGTTTAGATCTCCATTATCCCAACTGAAAGATTTCCTTGCTTTTGGTACCAACGGCAGGAGCGCTAAATGGCTAAGGTAATGCTTGAGGTCTGGTGATAAAAATGTATAATGTTGTTATTAGAATCTTAAATACTGGAAATATTTCTTAGCTTCCACAAACACTAATTCCTTTTCAACCTTGTAAGACAGATGACAGAGGAGGTGGCTCAGGAATGCTACTGGTAATAACCAATGCTATCTGAGTGGAATGGCCAAACCTAAGGGGCCACACCAGCTAACACATGCCATGTGGTCTCATTAACTGACAGTGGAATTTGAGCACAGCTATGATGAATAAACTCCCTGGTGTATTTCTTTTTTTCCTAACTGTTCCTCCAAATCAGATACTCCCTCACTCAGGGAGGGCAAGGTCTTTGCTTTGGATCAGCCTGTCTTACATATTGTTTGTACAGTCATGGGGCCAGTACTCTAAGCAGTTAATTTATTCTGGTCAGACGTAGCTAGAATGTTGTGTTTGCACTGGAGTAGGAAGGGGGACACATCTTTAGAAGGTCATTGGCAACAGAAATGTGAGCAAGGACTGTGAACTCTCTGCAGATCTTATCGTGAGGAGCTTTAAGGAATGGAGGGGTTTCACTTGGAAAAAGGAAAGGTGGTAGAAGAGATGGAGGGGCCCAGTTCCAGCATCTCTCTTCAGGTTTTGTTTTGTTGTTTTTTGTTTTTTTTTTAAGACAGAGTCTCACTTTGGTGCCTGGGCTAGAGTGTCATGGCATCAGCCTGGCTCACAGCAACCTCAAACTCCTGGGCTCAACCAATCCTCCTGCCTCAGCCTCCCGAGTAGCTGGGGACTACAGGCATGCGCCACCATGCCCGGCTAATTTTTTCTATATATATCAGTTGGCCAATTAATGTCTTTCTATTTTTAGTAGAGATGGGGGTCTCGCTCTTGCTCAGGCTGGTTTCAAACTCCTGACCTTGAGCAATCCTCCCGCCTCAGCCTCCCAGAGTGCTAGGATTACAGGCGTGAGCTACCTTGCCCAGACTCTCTTCAGGTTTTTGAGGGGCTGCTGATGTGGAAAGGGACTTTGACTTTTTCTGTAACATTCATCTCTTGGGTCTTTGTTGCCTCATATGTAAGAGCAGGATTTGGATGGTCTCCCAAAGTCCCCTCACTGCTAAATTCTATGACTAGCCAGGCCCAGTGAGTGGGTGTCACTGGAAGACAGAGTGAGCTTCCTGTGTGAGGACAGAATGTCCCAACGCTGACCTCTCCAGAAGAAATTTAGTATGAGGCACACACACACGTGTAATTTTAAGTTTTCTAGATGCCATGTTTTTAAAAGAAACAGGTGAAATTCTAATGTATTTTATTTAACCCAGTATGCTCAAAATATCATTTCAATAAGTAATCAATGTAAAACAAATCATCAATGAAATATTGTATTTTTTTTTTCATACTATGTCTTCAAAATCCAGTGTGTGCTTTATGCTCAAAGCACATCTCAATTTGTACTAGCCATGTTTCAAGTACTTAATTGTCACCTGTGGCCAGTGGCTGCCACCTCAGCCAGCATGTCTTTTGTGACCATGTAAGTGCTTATTCTGGGCCAGACCCCTCAAAAGGTTTTACGTCCCTCTTTTCAGTCAATCGTTGCATCAGTCCTCCTCTTTTATAAATGAAAAAAACAAACTTGTAACTTCCACAATTCTACACAGCTAATATGCAACAGGACCCCAGATTTGGCCTTAGATTTGTCTGAGCCCAGTCCTTGACCTTGGCACTCCCTGGGAGGAGGTGGCTGAGTTCCCTGTCCTGGGACCAGCTGGTTCCGTACAGGATGTCTGGGGTAGAACGTCCCCGATGAATTCCACAGCCCTGACGTAAAGCAGAATTCCACGAGAAATAGGCGACGTGGGCAGTTTGTCCTTTAGCAACTCACGAACGGATAAACATTCTCTGTCCCTGGCAGGGCACATTTTCCTGACCCCAGTCATTTGGTCATTAGGCAGCTTCTCTAAAGAAGTTGGGCTAGATGTTTCCTGCAAGTGTATATCGTAAGTAGTTCCTAGAATGTTAATTCAAATAAGAAACAGTTACTGTATTTACATTTTTAAAAATCATCTAGCGCTTTCGTTTTTAACTCACTGTTCCTGTTTGGTACATTATGAGGATGGCGGGAGGGGGAGTTGCTCGGGGAGGAGAGGAAACGGGGCTTTCTCAGCCACAGCCGCCTCAGGAGCGGGGCGTCCCCCACGTGGCTGTAGTCACCTCTGTGCCCACCTTCGACTCCCAGTGGAGCACGTGGCTGTGCGTTCCCAGACAGCCCGTAAATCCCCAGCACCAAAGGGTCCTGGGGCCAGAGGAAATGGCTGTCGGGAGGCCAGGAGAAGGGAGGAAAGGAAGCCACATTGTGATCGTTCTTCTCAGGCAGACTTGTGATAAATAGGAAATGAGAAAAATCATTTACAGATGGTTTATTGCATTTTGTCCTATTTTAGAAATCACATATTTGGAATTAACTTGGAAGGTTTCTGCTATCATTTGCGATCCGTTGTCACTATGCATCAAAATGTGAAAATTTTGTTTTCATTTCCAAATTTTATGCTATGTGAACATTTCCTTCTGTAGTTCAGGAAGCAATTATTCATCCAGTGATGCCGTGTAATGCCTTTGAAAGAACTAAAGTTCAATGTAGTAACAGAGCAACGATCAAAGTGAAACCTGACATCGATTAGACCTATGGGTAGGCTAGAGCAACTCCTGTTCATTTCCTTTTCTTGGAAGGAAAAGTAGTTCCAGTGATACTGTTCCAACCTTATAGAAAAGTAAGCAAACTTGACCATTTACCTTTTACGTTAAAATCTTTTTACATAATTACATAACCTGATCCCTAATTAGGCGGGGTAGCCTGTGGCCATAAAGAGCACATATGAAAGAACATACGGGTTGGCACTTCCAGAGGAGCTTTCCAGCTCTTAACTTCTTACTGAGCAGCTCTTCTGTTCTCTGCCACCTGAAGATAAAAACCCAACCCTATCTGTTAGTTCCTCAGGTCCTTAAACACCCATCCTTCTGTCTGCTAAGTCAGCCAGCAGCCCACAGCCCACGCAGGAGGACTTCTGCTCCCACTGGTCTTCCAACTATTTCACAACTTTCTTACAGCCGGGAAGGGAATAGTTGGTCTGGCTCCTAGAAGCTTATGATGACTTACACAGGCTCAGAAGTTTAAGTGCTAGTAAAGTCAGGAAAGGAGGATATTAGACATCATCCCTCACCCTCTGCAGTAGCAGGCCATGTCCACAGCACTTGTCCCTCCTGCCCATCACAAAAGAAGGAGAAGTATTTAGATAGGGAATCTTGTGACATTCTTGTACCCGTGTTATCAACAGTATAATCCTACAACATCAAGCATATAAAGTCCAGACTTCAATTATTAAGCATTAACAAACTTTGAGAAGCCTTGGAACAGACCTGATAATTTTCTGCAAAATGTTTTATTTTAAGGGATTACCTTTGCAGCTTCATTTTTTTTATATGTTGGTGCACTCCCTCAGGAGCAGCATATTTTTGTGCATCAGGACTACTGTCTGAACATCTGTCTTTTCTTTCTCTATTTTGTAAGGACCAAAAAGCTGATAGTTGATGTAATTCGGAACCAGCCAGGACACACATTGACAGATATCTTAGAGACACCAGCAACTGCACAACAGGTAATTTGTCTTTAAGTGTAAAATAATTAGTATAATAGGAGTTGATTTTCTCAACAAATCTTCATGCCAGATGTTTACTGTTATCTCAGAGAAACTGTATCTGCCATGGTTTAGAAGTAAATATTTTATCTATTACTGTAGCCAACTGAGTTCAGCCATATATAAAACTCAAATGGAATATCGGTGGGAATAAAATAGAAAATGCAACACTAAATTTATGCTGAATGTAATTTTGTCCTACAGTAGGAAGACAGTTCTAGGTTTTTTTCAAAGCCTCAGAATGTTCATTTATAAATTTTTATCACACGGTGGATGGGCAGATACGTCAAGTGAGGACGGTTCTAGTTGACGAATGTAGAAAAATACCTTTTATATTTTATATATTTGCTAACTTGAAGAAACAAAGAAGTATCTCGCACATTAAGCTGTTTTCCTAATGCTTCAGAAGCAAACATTGAGTCCATTGGGTCAAAGCACCATTGTGCTGGTGTAAATAAAGTTCCATAATGATCTTGCATTAAACTTTTATCGACACCTTTTAAAATGTGTCATTATTTAGTTAATTCTAGAATGAGTTCAAGGGTATTGTTTTAGTACCAATAATGGGGACTCCTTAAACAAAAATCAACAAAATTATCTAGTAAGTTACTTCTTAGCAGTGCTACACATAGTTTTCCTGACTCATTCTTAATTTAATTGGCTACCAAGAAATCATTCATAGTTTTTAATTTTAAAAATATAAAACAAAACTTCAAATTATATGATGTTTGTTGATGTGCGAATATTTTTTAAACAATGTACACAGAATATCATGCTAGTTTAGTATGAAAGGCTTTTATTCCTTAATGGATACTTCATTTTTCCCTAAATGTATCATGACTAAGTGACTAAAAACACAGACTTCTGAGATGGAGTATATAGCTCTGCACCTCCTAGCTGTATAACTCTGGGCACGTAGAAATATCTCTGTGCCTCGGTTTCCTCAACTGTAAAATGGGAATAATAGTACCCAATTCACTGGCAGGATTAAATGAGTTAAAACATGTTAAGTGGGTAGAATAGTACTTGGCATATATTAAGTGCTCAGTAATGTTGGCTATTGCTTCTACTGTTGTTTACTACTAACCTGGTAAACCATTCCAGCGTCCATAACATTGATCTGTTTGTCCTGTGTCTGACATTACTGTGTCTAACAGATCCCTAGACTTCATCTGTTGGGTTGGCCAATTGTCTAATATAATGAAATGAGAAGATAACTATTCTCTTTTTATTAGTGTTTCCTTGAACAGGCTATCCAAATAGTATTCACTTGTTTATTTACTCATCATTTATTTGAGAACTTAGGTGCTAGATTAGTGGTTTTCAGAGCCAGTAGTTTGAGAGCAAGTCTCTTATTAGAATGAAGCTCTCTAACTGCCGCACTATTGGATTTGCTTATGAATCTCCATAAATGTGGCTGGTGTATGAGTTTAGTTTGGGTTCTGGATGTTTAGGGTTCTCATAGCCATGTTTTAATGGATGATTTATTTTTAATTTTCTCACCTGGATTGTCCAGGAATTGAAATCCTTCCATCTAGGGAATTATAACATAACAGTTATCCATTAAAACATGTCCATTACTAAAGTAGTTTGTCACTTTGGCAGTGAAGTAGCTATTTAGAGTTTTGTCCAAATTAGGCCTGCCATCACTGCTGTGTTACTCAAAAAGAGGAAATAAGTCCTTCCAAACACCTACTTCTCAACCCACGAAGGTCACATTCTGATTCTAGTCTTTGGACTTTGGCTTGAGGACTTCTTTCATTTTGACGTTAACTTGCTTTGTGCAGCTTATGAATCTGGAAGATTAGGGATCAGAGAAAAATCAGCATCTTGATAATCTCTTTTCAGGAACTAGATCATGCCTCAGACATGGTGAGCCGTGCAATTATAGATTCCAGAACTCCAGAAGAAATGAAGTATAGCCAGTCCATGATGGAGGATGCTCAGCTGCCTCTGGAGCAGAAGAAGAGGAAAATCCAGAGGAATCTCCGGACATTAGAACAGACTGGACTCGTGTCATCCGAAAACAACTACCAAGAGATTCTCAATGAGATTGCCAAGGTTTTTGGAAACTCTTCTTTCTTCACTTAGCAGACATTTGCTAAATATCAGTCATGTAATAGGACTCTGTGAGTTGGTATGAGGGATACGTAGTTGTATATGCCATCATTCCTACCCTCTTCAGTGCTACAGATTTTTAAAGGTTTTGAAGCAGTTGATAACTTTTAATAGAGAATATTCACCACTCCCTCAAGTCATTAGGAGAGTTGAAACACACCAGAAGTAAATGCTCAAGAAATGTAATAGACAAGTTTGATCTCTACCTTTAAGTAATACCTACTAGTTTTTTAATTGACATTTTTGGGAGAGTTTTCTCCTGAGTTGTTAATTGTCCCTGAGAATTCTCTTCTAAACAGTCTAACCTAGATGCAATTCAAACTTAAAGGTTAGTTTCTGTTTTCTCATCCCATATTTTTACACTTAAGAAACTTTCTGAGAAAAGGATCTCAACTTAGTGCAATGAAACATCACAGGAAGTGGCTGAGATCTGTTTGTCAAGGATAAGGAAGTGCACATTTGGGTTAAAAGGACATTTCATTCTTTTCATCCAAACATGCAAATTAGTATGAGTCCAGAGGTTAAAGGGAGTTAAGTGATCAGAAAAAATAAATGTTTTCACCTTCTGTGAGGGGAAATGCACTCAGCTTCTTTCTTCTATGTAAAGTTATAGTCAATTCTAGTGACTCAAGGGAAGTAGCGTTTCTTTCTATAGCTTTGAGGTGGAAATATTTCTCTTTAGGAATATTGGGTAGAGAAACTAATGCTTTTGCTTTAAAAAAAAAAAAGTTATTATGAAGGCACTCACCCAAAGATTCTATTTAATGAAGAATTTTTACCTGGGAGGGCCGTGGGGGTGGTATATGTGGATATCTCTTTGAATTCCTAGGGGAATGGTTTTTAATTCATCTTCAAAGGAAAATAATATTAAACAGCCACCATTTCCTTAAATGAAACATTTTTATAACTTACCAATTAGAATTACCAAAAAACCCTTATATCTGCAAGTTTAAATTTAGCGTACCTCCTGTGAGCTATAAGCAGCTTATTTATGCAACTTAATGTTCTATGTTTAATCTTTTCCGTCAGTCTTGAGAGCTGACTGAAAGTTGTTTTTTCAAACCTTGAGAAATGTTTGCCAGATGAAAAAATTTGGTTTTTACTGATTTCTAAAATGAATTCAACAACTGAATGTAAACCTTTTCAGTTTAAAGTATTCTTCAAAGAAGGATGTTCAAAACAGTCTGAGGAAATTACGTGTCTGCTGCTGCAGTCTAATTTGTGCCCCTTTTAAAACACTATTTTTTCCATAAACTAATTGTGTGGTGGTTCTAAAATTACTTCCTTGCTTTTCCATCTGGAGAAAAAGAAACCTTAGCAAGTCTCTTAAAGTGAAATATGGACGTTTTCCTGTTCTGAGTAAAAAAACAATGGGGAACACTTTGGTGTTAAGAGTGAAATGATGTGTCTGAGATGAACTGCAAATTAACAGACACAAATAATGACTTACTACTTGATGTTTTTCTTGTCCCAAATTGGCAGTATTGTGAAGTAAACTGCTTAAATCTCGTAACCTTTCACTTGTTGTTTTAGGATATTCGAAATCAAAGAATCTATCGTAAGCTTCGAAAAGCTGAATTAGCAAAACTTCAGCAGACCCTGAAAGCACTTAATGATAAGGCAGCATTTTATGAAGACCAAGTTAATTATTATGACACCTACATAAAGACTTGTTTAGACAACTTAAACAGAAAGTAAGTTAAAATCATGTCATATTCATTTGTAATGTCATAATCTTTATGTCAATTCTGGGCTGTGGGATTGGTTTGGTAAGCAAACCTTTTACTAGAGTCTCAATTTTATTATTTACCACTGTGAACTAAGAAATCAGGAATAAATTTGGAAGCTTTTTATTTTTTTTTTTTTTTTTTTTTGAGACAGAGTGTCACTTTGTTGCCCAGGCTAGAGTGAGTGCCATGGCGTCAGCCTAGCTCACAGCAACCTCAGTCTCCTGGGCTCAAGCAATCCTCCTGCCTCAGCCTCCCGAGTAGCTGGGACTACAGGCATGCGCCACCATGCCCAGCTAATTTTTTCTATTATATATTAGTTGGCCAATTAATTTCTTTGTATTTATGTTGCTCAGGCTGGTTTTGAACTCCTGACCTTGAGCAGTCCACCTGCCTTGACCTCCCAGAGTGCTAGGATTACAGGCATGAGCCACCTCGCCTGGCCTGGAAGCTTTTTAATACCCCATCAGCGTTAGAATTAAAGAGGCTTACCTATTGTATTATAAGCAAATAGCATTAGCACTTAAAGGGAACATTTTCATTATTCCTTTTGTCTTTTTTAGTTAAAGATGGGTTTTTAAAATACTTTTAAAAAATGTTTTGTATTTTCAATTATGGATACATAATATTAGTACATATTTATGGGGTATATGTGACGTCTTGATATAGGCATAAAGTGTGTAATGATCAAATCAGGGTAATTGGGGTATCCATAACCTCAAGCATTTGTCATGTCTTTGTGTCAGAAACATTCCAATCCCACTCTTTTAGTTATTTTAAAGTATACAATAATTTGTTGTCAACTACAGCTGCCCTATTATGCTACAGACTACTAGATCTTATTCTAACTGTATTTTTTACCCATTAACCATCCCCTTTTATCACCCAAAGGTGTTTTTAAAAAAGACTCTTGTTTTGGAATGTTTATTATAAACAATATTTTATATATATACTTGATAATGTTAGATAACATCAGATATTTGCTAATTGCACAAAGCAATTTTAAATTAGTAGGTTTTAAAAAATCATTACTAACACAACAGGCAGTATTTTGTTAGCTTTCTGCTATCCATTAGCATAATCATTACAGATTTTTATACACAGTATAGCCATTTTTAATGACTATATTTCACTTGTAATTATCATCACTAGATTAGGGTCAATGCTTATCAAACTTTCATTATCCATTTAAATATGTAGTACAGTATTTTCATATAATCCTTGTCATCAAATTGGCAGTAAGAGATGGTGCTATATGAAAAAATCAATTGCATTAAAAATCATAGATTTTTTAAAATTTTATTTTAAATTGACTTTATAATTGTGTATATTTACAGGGTCCAAATTGATGTTATGATTTATTAATACAATGTGGAATAATTAAGTTAGGCTAATTAACATATCTTCATCTCTAATACTTCTAATACTTCTTTTCTTATAATGAGAACATTTGAAATTTACTTTTAGCAGTATTTAAATCACAATACACTATTATTAACTATACTCAGCATACTCTGCAGTACATACAAAAAAAAAGTCTGATTCCTCCTGTGTGAGATTTTGTACCTTTGACTATCATCTCCCCATTTTCCCCCACCCCCTAGCCTATGTAACCACTGTTCTACTCTCTGCTTCCAAGAGCACACAGCTCTTTTAGATTCCACATTCAGTATTTGCCTTTCCGTGCCTGGCTCATTCACTTAGAATAATGTTCTCCAATTCTGTTCATATTGTCCCAAATGCCAGACTTCTCTTCTTTTTTAAGGCTGAATAGTATTCCATTGTGCATATATACCACACTTCCTCTATCCATTCTTCCGTTGATGGACACTTAAGTTAATTCCAAGTGCCTGTCATGAATGGTGCTGCAATGAACTTGGTAGGCAGATGTCTCTTTTATAAACTGATTTCAGATCTTTGGGTAAATACCCAGAAGTGAGATTGCTGGATCAATCATAAAAGATTTGATGAAGGAAAATAACCAAATTTAAACCTTACTTATTTGGGCTCTACTAATTCCAAATTTTAATTCATTTGCTTGGGCCTGAATATAGAGTTTTATATATATTTTTAATACTCTACTTGGGAGGAGGAAGTTGCTCAGGCTAATTTTCAGTAGAAATGAGATTGTTAGAGGTTTGCTTTACATATTTATCACAACTACGTTAAGGCATTTTTTAAACAAATCATTGCAGCTGTTTTAATTAAATTTTATTACAAAACAGGCAGCCAGCCTGCCAACCCTGACTGTCCAACCCCCCTAGACTGTCACATGTGCAGCCCCAAGCCTATTGCTGTGGAGGAAGGGGGAAGAGAACTTTGTTCAAAGCCAGCAGCTCTCGTTACAGCAGCAGCATTTTTTTTATCAGATTCAACTTGGCTTCACTCTTTTTTTTTTTATTATTAGTTTTTTTATTTCAGCATATTATGGGGGTACAAATGGCATTTTACACAAGCTCTCCAGTCAGGCGATTTGGATTTGGGTTCCAATCTTCTCTTATGTTGTGTGATCCTGAACCAGTTCAGTGAACTTCTTGGAACTTCGATTTTTTAATCTTTAAGGTGGGATTAGGAGTGCCAGCCTCACAAGTATCGTCATGAGAGCTAAATGAAGTAATATATGGCAAAGGAATGGATTGATTTCAAACCACCATAGGTACTATTTATGAAGCACTTAGAACATGCCAATGACATAGTGTTTGTTAAATAAACGTAAGCAGTCCTAGTAATACCGTTACTTCGGAGTGTGCAGTTCAGGTCATTGCACCAAAGCTACTCGGGAAACCACTGAAGATAGCCACTTAGTTCAAAGAAAATAGATGCCTGAGAAAATAGAGTGTAAGTTTTATTAAAAGTATTAGTCTGTAATGTCACCTTCAATCACTTGGGAAATCCCTTTCCCCTTAAGCAGTTCAGTAGTGAGGTTTTAATGCATGGGGAAATTACTACTATCAGAATAAAAAGGTGTACACTCAGCGCCACGGGGGCAGGTATGAACAGTGGGGTCACACAGGGCGTGGTTATTACACTGACCGGAAACATATGAGTTCACCATCATAACAACAAATGATGGGTTCTCATTTTGCCAGAAATTCTCGGAGATCAATTAAGTTCGACGGAAAAGGAGAACCCAAAGGAGCGAAGAGATCTAAAGCTGTGAAGTACACAGCAGCAAAGCTACATGAGAAAGGCATCCTGCTGGGGATAGATGATGTTCAGACAAACCAGTAAGTGTGACCTGAGTCCCCACAGAACACACATGCCATCTACTCACATAAAATCCGACTCATGTTCTTTTTTTTCCCCCCGGTTTCCCGTGGCCTTTGAGAGAGCAGCTCCGTTTGGTCTGGCAAGGCTTAGCCTTGATTATAGATGACAAGGAAAGAATATATGTATCATCGTTGCTAGGCTTCCCTTGGGCCTCAGTATCTGGTGCCGTCTGTCCCATAAAGTGCCAGTCAAGCGGTTGTCTTTCCCATGGCTTGTCCAGTGTGTTTGGATATGTGAGCCTCTCCGTCCCCACCCCCCCAAGAAGAACTGAGTCACAACAACGAGAATGAGAAGCAGCCTTTTGGTCTTGATAGATGAGTTATCTGCAATTGCAAAACAGTACCTTTCTAATTTCAGAGCCACAGACTGGCCAACCCCTGGGTCACAGCCACTTCCAACAGCGTGCCGGGAGTGTGTGTGTGTGTTCAAGGGGGTGGAGAAAAGAGAAACTGCCCTCCACAGCCCCACATCAAGCACCACATGCTTCCTTGTTTTAAAAGGATCGCAAGCCTGGTGCTCCATCACTTGTCCTTTGTCTCAAGGGAAGCCAGGTTACTGCATTTGCTTTCTAACTCGTGCCTGCCTTCAGAGCCTGGCATCTACTCCATTTATCTTGTGAAACCTTCTTCTTTCTGACAACACCAACCAAAAAAAAAATGCTACTTACTCTTTTGAAATTTTATAAAATTTAAATACTTGACTGGCTGGTCAGTAATATAGGTCAAATATTTCATTCTCATGTTCTGTGATTTTCATATATTTTCAACTATATTTTCTGTTCCTTAAGAGCAAGTACCATATCATCTATTTCTTTTATAATAAAGCACCTACTTTAGTACCCTGTTGAGCTATAGCTCTTAACAATAGCCATTAAACCTGGTGTCTAGGGGGCAGAGTAGGGGAAAGATGATGTGAGGTTTTTCATGAATTCCTTAGGATTTTCTCAAGAGGCCACTCACTCAGAATGATAACTTGGGATTCTGTTAGTTTGTTTCAGCTTTAAGCATATATTGTATTTGCAATTTCACACATGCGAATTTTCCTTTTTTGACTAGGTTTAAGAATGTTACATTTGATATCATAGCTACTGAAGATGTGGGCATCTTCGATGTCAGATCTAAATTCCTTGGTGTAGAAATGGAAAAGGTGCAGCTCAATATTCAGGTAAGCTGGGATTTCTGCACCTGGGGGGAAGAGTTGTGTTGGGGGGTCACCCGTAGCTCCCCTGGCTGCATTCTTCACAACAGCAGTGAAGTTTAACAGAAGAACAACACAAGCCTTATTTACCAATATTCATTTTTGGGTGTTGATGATTTTTTTAAAAGCTGTGCTGTTTCAAATAATGGGACGTAAAATGCTTTTAGATGGCAAATCATATTAGTCAGTTTTTCTAAGCTGTGTTTCCATTTTGGAGCTTAGACAAAAGAATATAACATAAAAGCATTCAGAGCTATTAAAGACTGAAAATATTCCTTTTATTGGAAACTTGCATTTCTTTCTAAGACTACATTATGCTCAGGATTGGAACTTTTCCTGATCTCATTTCTCCTCTTTTCCTCTCTCCTTCCTAGAAGAGTTTTTACATCAGTTTGTTAAATGTTTGAGATCATAAGAACGAAAGACATTATCCAAAACAGATATCTATACATATAAACATGGTGTTTACAATATGAATTTATCATTATTTTCTCATAATAACCATATTTAAGCCAAATGCACTTAAATAGAAATTGAAAGATCCAATTTATGTGCAAAAAAAAAAAAATTAAGAGGGTGATGCAACCAAATGTTCATCTATCCCCAATTTCTTAATCCTTAACACAAGATCACTTTAAAGAAGTATTAATAATTAAGCGTTTTTTTATATAACACTTTTTAAATGGTAATAACACCTACTTGCCTGGTCGCAAACTGCATGTAAAATGGTTTCCAGTTATTTATTCTGCATATGTCTGCAGGAGTCATCTTGCTTAAGCCCTTGAGAGTGGTGTGAGTTCTGGCCTCACTGCCTGCTCAGTCCATGGCTCAACGCCCTGAAATTACCTCCCTCTGATGGGAGCGTATCCCAGAGCCCTTCTATTCTGTCTGGCAGCCCTTAGCAGTGTAAAAAGAGAAATGGGAGCTGAATGGATTTGATAAGGATATTGAGATAATGCATATTAGAGTTCAGAGAGAAAAATAAAAGATACTGTGTAATTATGAAAAGTATACTTGAGTAAACAGTATTGGTTTCTAACTTATTTTAAATGTCATTAAGTATATCCATTTAACAGTTTAGCTAATGAGAGTCTTCAGTTTCTTTATGTAACACTTAGATAAATACAAGATAAATACACAAAGAGAAAAGAATATACTTGTGGTGATACATCCTGGTTAGTGATTCTCCTGTAGAGATAGCAAAGAGGTATAAGGTGATTGCCAGGAAGGACATGGTCCAAGGCCAATCAGTGTCAGATGAATCACAGGTGACCAGGAGACACCTTATGTTATGTTTAGAGAAATTACAGAAATTGAGTATTGGCACAAAACCAAACTTCACTTTGCCCCTTTCTTAAGGATTCAGTATCCAGTGGGATTAGCAGTTCACACCATTCATTTATACATGTAATTGTGAAATGTTAATCCTTAGCTGTATGCAGTGGCCACTATGCCCCAGATTTTTTAAATCATTAACATATATAATCAAAACTGACTAAATAATGTACAGGGCTCAGCAAAATAAATATGCAGGACCCCTTGTTCAAAATAAAGGATTTCTGGATGATGACAGAAGAGCATGAAACCAAGAACAGGGCCCTTCTCAACGTGGGACTCTGTACAGCTGCACAGCCTGCATACCCGTGGAGCCAACCCTGCATTTAATAGCTGTCAGATGTAAAGTCAAACTCTTATTTATATATGCAGCTTTCAGACAATTGCATGAATGTGTAAATTACCAAAGAAAAATGTGACGGTCAAGTCTTTAGTGTGAGTCAAGGACCGGGAAAAGGGCAGAAGTTTCTGAGAAGACTAAACGGGGAGGTCCCTTCTAACATTACCAGCTATGTGTCTCTGGGTCCTCCTCAGCCCATTCTCCCTTCAGCTCCTAAAGAAAATGGTAGGATAGAATTATGTCCTATAACCGTAGAACAGGGGTCCTCAAACTTCTTAAACGGGGGGCCAGTTCACTGTCCCTCAGACCGTTGGAGGGCCAGACTATAGTTTAAAAAAAAAAACTATGAACAAATTCCTATGCATGCTGCACATATATTATTTTGAAGTAAAAAAAAAACAAATGGGCGAAAACACCCACATGTGGCCCGAGGGCCGTAGCTTGAGGATGCCTGTTGTAGAACATATAAATCACAGGAGGGTGGTACACGTTCTTGCTTATTAAAAAAAAAAGGTCAGGTGTATATCGGGGGCTGCAAGATGGGCATTCTTCCTTTCCTAGATGAACAACTGAGGTTCAGAAAGCTCATTATGGAAGGGCTAGCTGGGGTCCAAGTTCTCTTATCACTCTACTGTACTGCATATCTCACAAGATTCCAGTTTATCCTGACAAGACAAAGGTGGCTTTATGGGGGTTTGCAGATACCTTGATATCATCTCATTCCCAGTAGCACCCCTGTGAGGTTGTCTGTGTTACCCCCAATTTATATACAAGGAAACAGTACTTCAGAGAGGTTATGTCATGTTGCAAGGTCTTAAGATAGCAAATGGCAGAGCTATGACTAAAATCTGGTCTTCTAATCACAAGTGCAGTCATGTTTTCTCTGCTCCCTACTTTGGGGACCCAGCTAATTCCCGTATATACACCTTTCCTTCTCAACCTAACCATATTTGTTTAATTCTTTTTCCAAGAAATTTTGTTAACAGATGTTGCATTTCCCAGAGGAAAAGTGAATCTCCACTACAATAAGTAAAAGCATTCTTGATGAAAGGACTTCATTTCCTTATAGAACTTCAGTTCCAAAAGCATATCTAAATAATATCAGGGTTTCTTTGAGTAGAGTGGGAGGTAATTGAGGAAGTGGAGGAGGAAGCTATTAGCAGCCAAAGTTCTCTCAGAGATAACTCTAACTTCTGCAGGTACCCTTGCTTAATATAGTCCCCAGGCATTGTCATTAAGAACTAATAAATTTCCAGAGCTAGACATAAGAAAATAAGACCTAGGTATTAATCCAGGACCGTTCAGGAATGATATCTTCTAGTTAGGAAAGGCTTCCTGTCCCATGTTACTGTGAAATATTACAGCTTAGCTTCATGCATGTGGCTGGTGTCACCTGGTTATTTATTTTAGAAATAAGAATTGATATCCTTTGTTTATATGGTGGTAATAAAAAACAGAATGATGGTTTAACTTAAGAATGAGGGTTCGTTCTCAGTATAGGAAGAGAAGTAGTCTAGATTAGGAAAGAATTGCTTTGTACAGTAGTCCCCAAACTTTGGTCACATGATTTCATCAGTAAATAGTGTGAGCACTTCTCCACATATGTACATACTTATTTACAAAGTATACATACTTCTGCTGTACTCTAAAATGTGCTTAGTAAAACATATATAAAAATTAAGTGTTTAAAGAATAAGAAAAAATAAATAGGAGTGCTCATATTATTTTTGCCCCCCACCCCCATGAAGTGTCTTGCTTATTTCACTTTAGAAAACACTGCAGTTCTAAAGGACATATCCCATCTAGCTGGAACATTTGTGTTTTGAATGTTTCAATTAAAAGTTGAAATTGTAATTATATATCTAATATTAATGATTGTTTTCTTTCATACAGTCCTTATCAATTCTAAAAACCTATTTTCTTTCATCTAGGTTAGTGATTCTTAAAGTTCAACAATTTTAACATCACTTGAGAACTTGTTAAAGTACAAATTTGTGGGCCTCACTCCAGAGCTACAAAATCAGAAATTCCTGGAGCTGGAGCTGAGCAGTCTGGGTTTTAACTAGTTTGTGTTTTTAACCAGATGATTTTGATGCCCGGTAATGGTTAAAAAACCCCATGTAGGCCTGGGCACAGTAGCACTCACCTGTAGTCCCAGCTACTCAGGAGGCTGAGGTGGACGGATTGCTTGAGCCCAGGAGTTTGAGGCCAGCCTGGGCAACATAGCAAGACCCCATTTCAAAAAACTTAAAAAAAAAAAAAAGCCCCCATCTAGCTCATTAAATCTTTTTTTTGGTCAACAAATTCTTCTAGTATGTTTTTAAATGTGCAAAATGTCAAAGTTGAGATTTAACGATGTTCCTTACAATTTCAGGATTTACTTCAGATGCAATATGAAGGCGTAGCTGTAATGAAAATGTTTGATAAGGTTAAAGTGAATGTAAACCTTCTCATATACCTGCTGAACAAGAAATTCTATGGAAAGTGAAGTGCCTGAAGACCTTTCATGAATTCAGTTATCATCTGGATTGGGAAATCAATTTGTTTAGTATTTTTTTTTTTAAACATGATTGAAATCACTGCTTACAAATGTGTGATTTTTTTTTTAAAGACCAAAACTGTTCTGAAAAATGTGCCTTTTTGATAATTTGATACTAAAATAGAATGATATGCAAAATGAATTAATGTAAACACATCCACATTGTACTGTGGTGTAGGTACTCTGATTAAAACTTTGGACATCTTGTGATCTATTTTAAAGTAGGGGGAGAAATTTAACTGACTAGGGACAAACATGTAAACCTATTTTCCTATGAAAAAATTTTAAATGTCCCACTTAAATAATGTAATTCTTCATAGATTTTTTTTTATCTGTGGATAAATGGAAACCTAATTATTTGTAATGAATTATTTAGATAGTTCTAAGCCTTGTCTTCTGGGAGTTATCAATTTTAAAGAGAACTTTTGTGCAATTCAAAATGAAGTTTTTATAAGTAATTGAAAATGACAATACAATAACACTTTCTGTATAAAAGTATATATTTTATGTGATTTATTCCTACTAAATGAAAGTGCACTACTGCCTCATGTAAAGACTCTCATACGAAGAGCCTTTAAGTGACTAAGGAACAACGTGATAGCGATCATAGGTCCCCACCTCCGTCCCTCATGATGTATTTGAATACTTTAATTGTGCCTCTCAATTTTTTGTAATGCTATAAAATCAGTATCTAGATGCTTTTTAAATGTATTCTTTGGAAATTGTTTTATGTAAAATAAATGTTACTTAATTACATTTATTTGACTTATATCATTTAGTGGGCAGGAGAAGATTCTTGGGGGTTTTCAGGAAAACAAATAATACACCTATATCTGCACTAGTTAGAGTATAGAGTAAGCTGCTGTAAGGAAAAAATACAAAACCCTTGTGGCCAAAACAAGAAAGAAATTTCTTTTTCTCAATTTCAGCAGTTCAAAAGTGAGCAACTCCACAAGGTAACCCAGGGATCCAGGCTGGCCAAGTTGGCTCTGCCTGCAGGAAGGGGGAAAAAAGTCCAGGGCAAACCTTTTAAGTTACACGGGTCACTTCTGCTTACATCCTACTCGCCAAAACTTAGTCACATGGCCATGGCTAGCTAAATACTGTGCCTAATGAGGCAGCCATATATCCAATTAAAACCTAGGGTGGAGAGGGAGGTGGAAGAAGAGTGATTCCTGATGACCACCCCAATCATAGTCCAGACTCTTAGGTGGGAACCCCTGATGTCTTGTTCATGCATTTAGTAGGCTTTAATTTCCTCAGGGATTGCAAAATATAGAGAAAGTAGGTTAGCTTATGCTCTAGTGGCACAGGTGAACTTTAAGTGTAAGACGAACAGAATTTGAAAAATTCAAATTTAAAAAAGTAGAATCTGTTAATTTAGTGATTGTTTCAGGCTACCTGTATTTTTGACAAAGAGATGAACACATTGAAACAATGTTCACTATCTCAACAGTTTGTGGGTTTATGTGTTTTTTAATGTGTTAGCCTTAATACAGACTACTGTAAAAGGACTCAAATACACAGTTAAGTTTGAAAATAAACCTCCCTCTCCTTTTCTCCCCTACTTCTAACATTGGAAAGTGGGGAATAGGAGCCAGAGGGGGATGTTAAGCTCCCTTCTTGCTCCAGGAAAGACTTTTAATGGAAATGTATAGAAGGAGCCAAAATTAGGGATGAGATGTTTGGAGGCAAAAGCCAGCCTTTCCCAGCATCTCTGCAAGGTGCTTGTCTTAACTTATTCCAACACTGAACAATATGCTCAAGTGTTATTTGTATAAATAAAGATGTTTACATCACACCAATACCCTCAAGGAAAGCCGTGATTGTTTTCTCTCTCTTGGCCCACAAGATGGGGTTACTGTTGAACATATCACCAATTGCCGTTTGTTTGAGATCTTTAAGGGACATGGGTGTATGGGTGAGCCAGAGAAGGAAGCACGTGATGAAGCAAAGGAGCAAGAACAAGAGGCCAGTGGAGATGTGGATGTGGCAAACCAGTCTCAGGACGACTGAACTATCCCTCAAGTGGGGGACTGTTGTTCCTTGTGATGTGAGCCATTTAGGACTCCTGATCATCTTCCTTCCCGGGGCTTACAGATTTTCTTACTCAGTGGAAGACCTTTTTTTTTTTTCTTCTTTTAAAACACTGAGCAATTGGAACTGTAACTCCGTTTTTACAAAGCTGGCTCCTGAATTTTATGTATGTTTGATCATGTTTCCACTATTATAAAAGCGGTCTTTGGAAGGTTAAGAGGGCTCATGCTCCCCTAAACTCCACTTTGGCACCTGGATATTTAAAAAGGCAAAAAGGACTTCTGCAACACTCCAGCTACTCTCAAAGGATCTGTTCTAGTGATCCTCAAAAGAGGGAACACTTTTTTCCGATAGTGGTGAAGAAAGAAAACAACTCGGTGTGATCCCGCTCTAATATGAAAGATCAGAACTCTAATGTGTATGTTGGTGTATGTATGTGGTTGGACGCTAATTAAAGATGCTATTCATAATATCATTTTTATGACTTTGTGGTTAGGAAGGGATTTGTGGTATTTCTCAAACATTCCAAGAGGCAAACCTCAGAACTCCGAATGGTAAAAGTCTACATTTTGAAAATTTCTAGTGAGCATTAGATGTTCTTAGTATGGGTTAGCTTTATGAAAAACCTATTGCCTTTGTTACTGAAACCAAAACTTGGTAACAGGTTACAATAGAGTCTTCTAAGTTCCAGAGGACAGAAGCTGTGTTTTAGTCATTCTAAGTTCAGAGCCCAGCCGTATTTTGTAAATGGCAGGCGTGGACATGGGTTCTAGAAATGGACTGAAAAGCACACAGACCCCACCGCCCCTCAGGAGTCCTGTATTACTTTAGGTAATCATTTGTGTGAATGGGGCTTTTACTGATTATCTCTGTCTAAAATATATCCTCTTAATCCCCAAATAAAACAGCTCATACAGATTTATTATACTAGGTTGTCTCACTGTTTTCCTTAGAGTATAAAGTCTCAGCTAAAATACATTGGAAGATAAATCAACAAAGAACTGAAAGTTATGTTCACCTTATTTAACTGGAATGAACATTTTTGGTTTTTGTTTTCTTTTTAACAGATAGTGAATTTGACCTTTGCTTAGCATCCTACACCGTAGGGGTAGTCTACCATTCTATCCATGGTGGGAATACAATTGTTGATCAATTATGAGAGATTAGCTTCTAAATCTAAACTAATACAAGTTTTTAACAAGATGGAAATAAGTCTCCTGTTGGTTAGCTTATAACATGATTACAAACCCTCTGCTTAAAAAACAAATGTGAAGGCATCTATACAAAATCTGGAGTATGTCAAATCTACTTTGAATAAAACTTGGCTTCATTTCATATAGGCTCTGGTATCACCACCATTAGCTTCCAAAAGGAAATTACTGAGCAAGTTTTTACAACATACTGTTGCCTTTGGAGGGCTTCAAATAGAGGAGTGGTAACCAAAATACCTGAAGCAGGTAGATCATCTAATGCTTTAAAAGAAACTGCTTTCATATCATCTTGGGATTAAAACTTTTATCACATTGAAGCCATGTTTGTTTTAAAACACTACTAAATACCATAAACATTATGGGAAGACAGCTAATGACTCATACGATTTGGTGCCAGGTAAGTTAAAACAGAAAAAAATGAAAACCAGGAACTAATATCAAGTGGTTCCGATGTGAGTGATGCTACAAAGCTGAGATTTCCTTCCTGGGGAATATGTTTATCAACGCTGGTTAGGTAGATTTTTGAAATGTTTATCATCTCTGGTTTGGTAGATTTCTCTCTGTGAAAACTATGCACATTTGCTCTAAAACCAAAAAAGGGATTTTGGCATGAGTGGCATAGAAAATAGGAAATGGATTGATATCTTTTTCAAAAATCTCTGAAGAGTGTATAAACATAGGAATTTTGTAAAGTCTGAGGACAAAACAGACAACAAAGACTACCACCAGACCATAAAACAAAATTAGAAATCAATCACAAAAGTCAAAATTTCCAATATATCAGTTGAAGATTGAATTAAACTGACAAAATATTTAGATCTAAATTGTATATATGTACATATCAAAACTTGCAAGATGTAAAGTGGTCCTTTGAAAAAGAGATGAAAACAAACTAAGCAATCAGTTCAAAAACTTAGAAGACTAAAAAGTAAACCCAAAGAAAGTAGAAGGAAAGAAAATTAAAAATGTGAAAATTCATGACATTGAAAATAATAAAAGCAAAAAAATAGGCACTGGGAAATAGTCATTTCCACCCTCTGGCCAGATTAATCCAGGAAAGAAAGCAAAAATAAACTATGTTAGGAATATAAATGGGGACCAAACTACAGATAAAATAGGATGAATAAAATGTATCATATGCATACAAGGGAATATTATAAAGTTTTATAAGAATTAGATATGCATGTATCAAGTCTAGAAAAATGCCAATTGCAGAAACATTTCTAGAAGGAATACTTATGCACACAAAATTTAAGCATTTCCCTGTTCCAAGAGCCCTCTTTTTGTCACTACGGGTACATTCTGTTCTAATAACCAAGCCCCAAAGGCATCCTTTTAAACTTTACAGTTTTTTTTTTTTTAATGCTTAAAAACATTTTCAACCCATGAAACATAAAATTTTAAAGTGTGGTCACAGCATTATTCCATTCATATTTTAAGAATATACACACGTACATATATTTTTTTGAATGATGACCAGAAACTAAACAGTGGTCACCTAGGTGAGGGGGGGCAGGACATCCCTTACTTTTCATTTTATATCCTTGAACTGTCAGAAATCCCTGTCACATTTATTACTTTTGTATTTTGCACGGTATTTCACTGATTCTAAGATATTTTCTTCCTACTTAAGCAGCCCTGAAATAGGTATGTCAGTTTAATTGGCAGCTTTTTTTCTTGTGGTACATGAGTTAAAATGATGAATCTTAAAATCAATGGCATCTTAGGGATACAAGTATAAGTGAGTAGTGGAGACATGTGGAATTTTAATGGTCCACATCTCCTCTTAGACATGTTTTCCGAGGAGAATTCACTGAATTGGGGCCGATTTTAAACAGCACTATTTAGTGGAGTAATTCCATAATTTATTGAGTAACTTCTGTGTGCAACAAGGTTCTGTGCTGCAAAGGCGAAGGGGGATATAGAGAAGAATAAGATCGCACTTTCTCCTCTGCCTTAAGTGTCAGGGCTCTAGTTGGGGAAATGATACTCTTCGTGCAAAATTCCCTTTTAAAAAGCCTTAGAAACCTGCTCTTGGCTGCCGCTTATCACCCACGGGTGGTAAGAATACGCCTGCACAGCAGTGCTGTGAGTTGGGAGAAGGGGCTGCGGCTTAGCTTTCCTAGAAACAGCCACTGGGGGCCCCATTTCCTGCTGCGGTCTGAAAGTCACGCTCTCCAGAGACTCCTCGGAGCATCTTAAGCTCAGGGCTCCTCCCGCGAGCGTCAGCCGCGACGTCCCCCTGAGGGCCCTCATCGAGTTTCGAGAAGAGTGTCCCCTGCCTTGAATTTAGCCAAGCCTCTGTAAAATCGTTCAAAGAAATGCGAAGGCCCTTGGAAAGTTACCGGGACACTTCGGCCCCTGGGCATCCCCAGCGTTGGGGCGCCTGAGTGCCGCCCGCCGCCCGGGCGCGGCCCCACCTGCAGGCGCCGCAGGTGACCCTGGTTGGGAGGGGGAGAGAGAAGAGAGGCCGCGCGCGGGAGGAAGGGAGAGGCCGCTCTCGGGTAGGGGGCGGCTGGTCCCACTCGCGGGCAGCCTGTCCATGAAATAAGTGCCAGGCGTAGGAAATAAAGGCAAACGAATGACAAACGCCAAGAATTCTGCCCAAACCATTCCCATGTCGGGGCAACCCTGTTGCTATAACGTGAACCTTTTAATCCGCTATCTCAACATTGCAAAAGCAGTGGTGATTGGCAAACTTTTAAGCTAAATACCCAACTTTGCAAAGCGGCCGCAGCGCTCGACACGATGCCCGGCGCCCTGCAGCGAGGGAGGAAGGTCTCGGCGGGGCCCCGGGCGCATCCTGGATGGGGCGCTCGCCGTGGTCGCCTTTGCTTCCCAGGAGGGTAACGACCCGCCCAGGGAGCAGCCGGCGGCCGCGCGGCCCAGTCCCAAGGACCCCGCCAGTCTGAGTCACTGACAGCTTCGCAGGTCAACAGCGCCCAAAGGAAAAACTGTTTCGTTTGGATCCCGCAGCCGGACGGTGGCGGGCGGCCAGGGCCAGGGCGGGGCACCGGCGAGAGGACTGCCCCGGGTGGCCGAGGCGCGGGGCCAGCCGGCCGGCGGCGGCGGGACGCGTGGGGAGGGGGTGGCCGGCGGCAGACAGCGACGGCGTCTAGGCGCACACTCCGCGCCGGGGGGCGCCCTTCCCGGCTCGCGCCGCTCGTGCCCGCGCACCCGGCCCGCCCCCGCCCCCGCCCGGCCCCGCGCGCTGCGAGCCGCCTCTGGACCCAGGCTCGCGGAGGGCGCCCGGACGCCTGCTTCTGCCCGCCCGCAGCCCGCGCCCCGCCGCCCGCGCCCACCCGCTGCAGGACCCCGCGGAAGTGAGGAGAGAAGGGCGAGCGAGTCGCCCGCGGCGGGGACAGCCTCCTGGAGCAGCGCCGCGCGGAGCCTCCGGACAATGGGGCCGCGGCGGCTGCTGCTCGTCGCCGCCGGCCTCAGTCTGTGCGGCCCGCTGCTGGCTGCCCGCACCCGGGCCCGCAGGCCAGGTGAGAGCTGCCCGGCGGAGGCTCGTGCGGGAGGGGGAGGGACACGGAGCGGGGACTAAATGGGCAAGGGGACCGGGGTGGGGTGTGCCCTGACTTCACCCCTGCCTCCGTTTCCTTCGGACGCCGAACAGGCATTTGGGCTGGGGTCCCGAGTCTCCCCCAGTCACATGTAGTGGGGCGCGCCCACCCCAGCCAGCCCTTCGCACGGCCCAGCCCGTGCCCCTCTGGACGCGGTTTTGGAGGCTGCAGCGCGCCTGCCCCGGGGTATTGGATATGGGGCGCGGGGGGCGGATTGCCCTGGGGGAGCCTGCGGTCCTGTGTGGGCTTTGTGGTCATCATGTGGTCTGCTTCTCCCAGGACCACTCCCACCGGTAAACGTTCTGGTCTGTTCAGTGTAAAGTTAGAGCACCGCTCCCGCTAAAGTTTTGCTTTGTTGGAATTTTTTTTCTTGCACATTTTAGAGGCGAGGAAAGTGGCCTAGAGAAAAGCGCAGTGTGTCCCTGAGCACGTTTAGCAGAGTATCAGCAGCCCCCGGCAGGGCTGCCCAGGAGGTGCTCACCGGTGGGACATACACGTGTGATAACAGTGTGGGCTGGTGGTGGGAAGGGGGCAGGTTTGGTTTCTTACCTAGAAGCCATTCCTTCTAAGTGAGTTGGGGAAAGGGACTCCTCCCAGAGCCAGGCTCCCGCGCACACTGTGGGATCCCAGTTTTTCTTAACGAAATTTCTGATCTGCTGTAAGGAGACAGTTTATCTAGAAGACATTGAACACTATGAAATAAATAGATTTGGTCGATTTATTTGGTCAAACATTTTCTATTACACCTTCCCCAGACCTGGGCAGAGGAGTTGTTTTTAACCTGGGAAGGCACTAAATAGAAAGTGAGAAGAGTGTCTTTCAATTTCTTAGTACCAGTAGTGCTTTATAAACTTTTCGCCATTTTTTTCATAAAGAAACCAATTTTCATGGATTTTCTTCTTATCGGTGAAAGAATGTGCACTCTGTATTGCTCCCACACTCAAAAGGGTAGCTACATCAAGATTAAGAGGTGACAAAGATGGAGCATGTTCTCTGCTCTTTCTCTTTGTTCAGGGTGAGTTTTGAGGAGATGCTTTTAGGAAAACTAAGAGACCCAGACTGGAGCCCAGTGTTTGGCAGCGACTCGCCTGCCTGCCTGTGGATACCATCAGCATTAGCACTGAGCGTGTTTGGAAAAATTGTGTGTGATGCTGCATGATTTCACAGACTGTTATGTGATCCGCTTTATTTTATTTTGGGACAAGCTCTTGAGAATACGACTTTGTGTGTGAGATTTGGGTAGTGAGTGCAGAACAGGTTTATACAAATGCTGTATCCACCATAGCCACCCTTCCTCACAGTAGCCCCCCAGGGAGGCTTTCGGTCTCCTGTAGGGAGTGAAGTCAAAGGCTGCTGGTTTCCGCCATGCTGCCTCCTTCCTCACGTAAGGGGTGGTGCTTGCCAGATGGACACTCCAAGTGTAGACAGAAAGACAAGTGGACACACATTGGCTAGTCTGTCAACACTGGATTCTGGAACCACTTTGGGAGGGAGAGAAGAAAGGAGGATGACAAAAGAAAAAAAGGAGCTCTGTTAAGTGCAATATTCCACGTCAGGCCCTGAGCCAGGAGGAATTTTCACTTAGCTCGTGTCATTCCACCCTCTCAAAACACCTTGTTAAGGTGGGTGTTTTATCCCCTTTTGCTGATTCTGAAACTAAGGCTCAGAAACAGTGGCTAGCCAAATGGGGAAAGAAGGCTGTTGGAACGGTCCACACATCTTTGGTGCAGGGAATAAATAGGGCTTTGTCTTCACAGAGTTTAAAATCACTAATAAAGTCAACCAAAAACGGGTCTGCTTTTTATTATCACCATGTACCAGCAATTCTAAACAGTGTCTGTCATAAAATGCTGGTGCTGAGACCACTCCCATCATCCAACAATGCCTCTCCAGTCCTTGCTATGCCACTGCTGAGAGAGGATTCAGAGACAGAAGTGTTTGTTTATTACCCAAGACCACCCGCTGCATGTGCTAAGAGGGCCTGTCCCACTGCACTTTCTGGTTTTGTTCACACTCATTTTGGCACTTTCTACCTTATTACTTTGTGCGTATCTCATCTCTCCTGATAGGATTTTAAACTTTTGTTTATTCCCATGGAGTCTAGAACAAATGTTCACTCAGCAGATATTTGCTGAGAAATTTGTAAATTCCTGAACCAGTTTACATTCCTTGGTGCAGACAATTTAAGTGGGATGATGTTTGTTCCTTAGAAAGGTGCAGTGTCCAAGAGTAAAAGGTGATGTTTATCAAATTTATAAGACTCTAGTCTAGAGGGTGAAAGCATTCAAGACTAGCTGGTGGTGACTTACGGCAGAACGGATTGGGTGGGTGATTGCACATGCTGCTTTTCCCTGACCCACAGGATCGAGCCTGGTTCCATGGCAGGGAGCGAGGTGCCCCTCTCCTTGCAGGAGGGTCCCAGCCCCTGCCCAGCCACCTCATATTATACATCCTCTGCTTCACCCAGCTCCACCCTCTAGTTCCTCCCCCAAGGAGCTATACTTTCTCTGGCTTCTATCAGCAGGTCACTCCCTCTGGCCAGAATGCCCTCCCCACACCCCAGGGCACCATTTAATTAAACACAGCTACCCTATGTGGAGCACCTACTACTGCTGACACCTGCCTAGGTAGGTCACATACACTATCTTATCTATTCCTTACAACAGCCCTTTGAGTAGATGTCATCCCGATGTCATCCCATTTTACAGATAAGGAAAAACAGAAAATGAGTAAGTCACAGACTTGTGGAACTGGGAGTTGACCACAGGCCAGTCTCTCCTTGGCTCAGGCTTTCTCTACTGCCCCCTGCAGAGAGAGAGCCCTCAGACTCGCCACCCTTCTCACAGTCGAGGACTGACCCCGCTGTGCTCCCAGTACCCATAGAGGCAAAGTCTGTGCCCCATTGGCTTGGTCGCCCAGGGAGGTGTTTAGTAAGCATTTATGCATGGAGTATGGTATCCTGCCACTGTCTTTTGCTAACAAATGATAAGGCAGGCTATAAATAGAGCCCCACCCATGAATTTGCTAATTAATTGGCTGTTACTAGACATGGTGATCTTTAGCCCAAACAGAAAGACAGGAAACCGGACAGTGGTTCTACCCTAAGCAGACCAGAAAGCTCTGTGAAGCTCGAAAGTCAAATTTTTTATGAACCAGCAAGTAATTTTCTACCCTACTTATCTCTCTATATTATATTCTTGGTGGCTTTGCCTTTATTTTTATCGAACATATCAAAATAGCATGTTCTCTCCTAATTTGTCCACTCTTCCTTTGTGGGAGGAGAATTTTTTGAGGCATTCCCAGCCCTCTTCTTGGGAATTTTCTCCTGTTGCCTCTACTTGTTGCCTTTCCACTCCCTTTATCCTCCTCGTTCAGCGATTCTCAGCCCTTTATAAGGTCTTAACAGGTCAGTGTGTTGTGAACCCCAACTTGCACTTTCTCAGCAACTCTGAACTTGTTCCTTTTCCAAAATGCTTCTGTCTGGTGTCTTCCCCTGTGTCCTAGCTGCCCCTGCCTGCCTCCCTTAGTCATTTCACTTTTGTCCCTGTCACCCTCATAGCCTAGAACTCAGCTGGGCCTTGAGCAGGAGTACCCCCAAGACAGTGGGGTCCTTAGGACCCTGGCTTTCTGATCTTGCTGCGCTCCTCATTTTGGACACTCACCCCTCTTTTACCTAGGAACTCTCCTTCCTTCCTTCCTTCCTCTTCCTTCCTTCCTCCCTCCCTCCCTTCCTCCCTCCCTCCCTCCTCTCCTCCCTCCTTCCCCCCTCAGTTCAGTTGCATTTAGTACATTCGTAATGTACAAATACAGCCTCTGCTCAGTTACATCACATCATTGTCATCATCCTAAAACAGGGGTCCTCAAACTTTTTAAACAGGAGGCCAGTTCACTGTCCCTCAGACCATTGGAGGGCCAGACTATAGTTTTAAAAAAACAATAAACAAATTCTTATGCACACTGCACATATCTTACTTTGAAGTAAAAAAAAAAAAAAACAGGCAAAAACACCCGCATGTGGCCTGCGCGCCCTAGTTTGAGGATGCCTGTCCTAAAAGGACACCCAGTACCCCTTAAGCAATCAGATCCATCTCCCCTTTCCCCGAGCCCCTGAGGAACCACCTACCGTGTTTCCCCGAAAATAAGACCTTCCCATGAAATAAACCCTAGCAGGATCTCTAAGCATTTGCGCAATATAAGCCCTACCCCAAAATAAGACCTAGTGATTTGGGCGTGGCTGCGCAGTGTATCTGCACAACCCATGCATTTCGTCGTGGTAAAGAAGACGAACAGTCCCATTCTCATCTGCCCCATGAGAGCTCTGCTGCTCTACAGGAGAGATTGGGGCCAATGTTCTACAGCAAATAGAGTCGCTAGAAATTCAGGATAGAATTCAGGATTTGAAGAGTTATGATGATGTTCCAGAAGAAGACAACTATATTTGCATAAATGTAGGTTGTTGTACCGTACTTAAAAAAAATAACACATCCCCTGAAAATAAGCCCTAGGGTGTCTTCTTGAGGAAAAATAAATATAAGACCCTGTCTTATTTTCGGGGAAACACAGTATTTGCTTTTTGTCTCTATGAACTTACCTATTGTTGATATTTAATATAAAAATGGAATCATATAATATGTGGCCTAAGTGTGAGCTTTCATGTCCCAAAATATCCTGTCCTACACTGACCGTGTCACTGTACTTGGAGGGGCCCACTGAGGCTGAGGTCATTATCCTTCATCCTAAGGCATCCAATGAAGTTTTGCCAACTTAAAATGCCCTTACAGATCTTTATATATTCTTTATTTGCTTTCAAAAGTAACTGGCCTTTTGAAATGACAGGAATAATCTGTAATTTAAACTTGAAAACAAATTTATTTAAGTTTAAGAAAATTGTGTAATCCAGTGGTCCCCAACCTTTTTGGCAC